TATATATATATATATATATATATATATATATATAGGAGTCTTCAATGAGCGGCACATGAGGAAAACCTTATTAACCAGCAATGTGAAGGAGCTCTGTCCTGTTTGACCCTTAAACAGTGATTAAGGTGCTCAAGTTAAATTGAGAGGACACCATGTTTAGTTTAAGAAAAAAATATGAAGTTTTTTTTCCCCAAGAGAGGACAGATGAGACAAGAGATTGATTAATTTTACAGTAGATTATTGCAGAGAGATTTTTTTAGCTTAACAAAATGCTTTTACAGAGCCTGCTTTGCTGCATCTGAACTTGGCCAGATTTACCATCATTTGATCTATCATTAAAACTGCCTCGTATCGGCAGATGCTGAGGAAAATGTGAGACCATCTGTAAGGTAATTAAAGCCACAGCAGAGTGGATTTTCATTGACATGACAATGATCCAAAACAAAATGGTAAATGCATCCGAGGCATGATCTCATGAAAAGCCTTAGTGAATTTTTTTCTGTTAACTTATATATTTTTTTTTATCCAGTTTATTTTCTTTTTTAAGTGCTGTTAAATAAATAATTTAAAGTTAAGGCTTCACTTCATGTGGTGTACCGGTTTTTTCTCATTACTGTAAAATTCAGAGACCTTTTACAAGATGACTGACAGTAAAGTGACATGGTGGAATAAAGACGAGTACGTTCTGGAGACTTGGTGTAGATCAGACCAGCGAGAGACTGAATACACATCTTTATCTTTACTGTGGCCTCCTTAGGGGCTGCTGTGGCGCTCAGCAAGCAAAACAACCCCCACTGAGCAACATGGTAACGGAAAATCATTCTGTACCCAGCTGCTTTCCGGCTAAGAGCCAGCAGCAGCATATGAGGGTCCAGACAGACCTGCCCCTTTAACGATGAGTCTTTATCATCACTGACTGCACAGCCGGAAGCTCCCAGCAGTGCTCAAAGGTGGCATTATTTGTGGTAGCTGACAGTCAGTAAGGAAGGCAGATGAATGTCTAGGCGTAATAACAGGGCGACACCAACAGGTTGGTGAGCACCAGAAGCTGGTCGTCTGTGAAGCACTGCCGATGCTCCTGCCAGTTGTCGTGGTGAGTGCGCCTGAACTCTGAAAGGGTCTTCTTCACAGTCATCTATAAAACAAAAGGGTTAAACATGAACACATGTAATCTGTGGGAACTGAAATAAGTTTACCTGAAACTAATGAGATCTGTGATTGCGCATCCATTTTTTGGGAACTTCACACATGCTTTTTTTTTTTTTCTTTCTACAGATTCCCCTCAATAATTTAGAAAAGCATCCAAAAATATGTGAGTTTATGAGCCTCAAAAGAACATTTACAAAATAATTATACACAGAAAAAAGGGATCTTCCATTGGGAATAAAGGACAAGTATTTTTAAAATGCTGTAATCCCATGTCCAAAATTAAAAAGAGAAAAGCTGTGTAAAATGTAATTTAAAAGAGGAAAGACTTAATTTATAAATTGTAAAAAAAAAAACTAAAATTGCAAATGTAAGAAGTACTGACAGATTTGAAAAGTTTTTCAAAACATATTTGACAGAAATAAGGATAATAATAATAATAATAAAATATACTAAAACTTCTGCTCTTCAAAAGTGTATAAATACAAAAATTTTTTACTGGCATAGTTGATCAATCTAACATCATTAAGCATAATTTGAATGCAGTTTAGAGCTATCAGCAGTTCTGTAGGCTATTGGTGATCAATCTCTAAGTAATATCAGCCATACAAACACTATCACTTAAAAAATAAGAGAAGATTTCTATTCTTTCGGCGTTCTTATGGTGCTGTTGTAACTGTTGTTTTCCTTTCAACAATTTCTTGTCTTGAATCAGAAGTGAAGCAGCTTTGTGGCACAAAATCCCTAAGATGAACCTAAAATTTTTACCTCACTAAGCCACTAATCCTGCTTTTTATACTACAGGCCCTCTGTTCAACAGCTGAGCAAATTTTATCTCCAAGAACCTTTTAGTGCAGACCTGCTGCTCCTGCAGTGAATGCAGGAGGAAGCCTGAAATAAACCTGAAATAAACAAGACCTTTCTTGAAAAATGTCAGCATATGTTGCTTCAGAGCCAGTATAAATCATGCACTATTAATGATGTTTGTACAGAGCTGCAAGCTGGATGGTTTCTTTTCCCTCTCTAGCTTGGAAGACAAAACGCTAGTGGCTTCTATTTGTAATTTCAACTTGTTTCAATCCCCAGTACCCTGAAAATGAAATCCACATCTCTTGAACATTTGTTGTTTGTTTCACAACCACAACCGTATATATATCTTATTAATAAAATAGTATAGTGCAAAAATGTTAATGAAATGATAAAAAAATTATGCATATTTATCTCATTTTAACAAAAAAAAGGATGACCTACTTTTTAATTCAGATCTCTTTTAATCTTATATTGCATTTAAAATCACCTAATCAGTTAAACTCATCTGTGTTCACATTAATCTCAGCTGTTCTATAAAGGCCTTAGAGGTATGTTGAATAACATTACTGAGCAACCTGCTACCAAGGACAAAGAAAACACCAAACATGTCAGGACGGACGTTGTACAGAACTTTGAAGTTAAATTAGGCCAAAAGAGAAAGACAAGCTGGCCAAAATTGATGGGAGCTAAATTCAGGGTCAGTACTGGAGGATAACCAGTTAAAAGCTGGAAAAGAATAGAAACTAAGGTGTAAATATCACATGTCCCTTTGACAAGGATATTATTAAAGAATGATCGGCAATAATTCACAGAGAGTGAAATATTTATAGGGAGAGGATTCTACAAGTCAGTTTACAGGATATGAGAGTTGTTTGTTTTTGGTTTGCTTAATATGAATGACATAGATTTTCTTTTACACTACATGAAGAACTACTGAAATTGTTTTCAGGTCACAGAATTAGATTGACTAATTCTGCAGAACAACAAAGGAATTACTTTAGGGTTAGAATGAGGATTTATTCTATGGTAACAACCTACTGAGCAGAAGGAGGCAGAATCTGAAGCCATTTTATGGGACTGATAACCGCCAGTATAATAACAGCCATTTATTGGGATGAGTTTTCCCCGTAATGTTCTTGTGGCCACAACAGGCTATGGCAGGCCATTTAGATAGTTATTAGTTTGACTAATTATGTATTTAACATATCTGTAACAAACTTTTGTTTCCTTGTCCAACTGAACATTTCAAACAATATTACATTCTTCACATCTCGAATAAACATTCTGGAAGTTTAGGAATTAATTTTAGATCTCCATCTTCCTATTGTTACTGGTCAGCATTTGTATTATTTTGATTGTGAAGAAATGTATTTTAGATATCATGAAAACATATTCAGTCAAGCTGATGAATGTCAAAATGGCCCCTTACAATGTGTTAACATTTCTATATATATAGATCTTAATTCTTACTGATAAAAGTTTGTTTTTTGCATTCTGAAATTCATTTTCAGATGCACAAATGTAATTTAGAAAATCCGCTATTACATTTTCGTCTAGGAATGTGATTTTTACCTGGAAGACTCCTATTTTAGTGATCTACAAATGGAGGAGAGTGCTTTCAAAAGGAAACACTTATTTGCTTACAATCAATATTATATGTCAACACAAGGTTTGGGCAGAGTGGGTAGGTCTGTGGATGCTTGGATAGGAGTTTTATTTAGTTAGGCTGAGGGCAAAAACTCTTTAGATTATAGCGATCACAGATATCTGATCTACTGCAGAAAATTGAGTGTCGTCATGCTAAAATTAAACATGACTACAAGTAAGTGCTCTACATACTTTTGTGAAGCACCATGGGCGCACAAAATGTTTTGGGTATATACAAATATAAAGTCTTGGATATGAACTGAAGACACAAATCCAGTTTAATTAACCTAAATGGATATGCTTGACAATCAGTATGGGACATTTCAGTTCCTTTCCATAATTGTGATAAAACCCTGAATAAAATGGAATGTTGACAGCATCTTTTTTTTCATGCTTTCTTCCTTGTTATGAGGTTTGAAAAACATGGGCTGCACGGTTGTAAAGTGGGTTGCCTTGCAGCAAGAAGGTTCCAGGTTGGATTCTCGACCCGTGGTCTTTGTGCATGGAGTTTGCATGTTCTCCACATGCATGCATGGGTTCTCTCAGGCTACACTAGCTTCTTCCCACAGTCAACAGTACATGACTGTCAGGTTAATTGGCTTTTCTGCAATCTCTTTTTATGTGTTTGTGTTGCCCTGCAACAGATTGGTGACCTGTCCAGGGTGTACCCTCCCTCTGTCCCATAGACTGCCACAGATAAGCACTTGCCCCACTGCAACCCTGGTAGAAGAAGTGGGAGAAGATGGATGAATGGAGGGTTTGAAAAACAAGCATATTTCCACACTTTTAAAAGCCTCTAGTTATTATTGTTAAGAAAATCTTATTTATCAAAATCACAAACTCTCCTACTAGTGGAGTTAACGAAACAGAAAAAAAAAATTAACAATAAGAACAAATTTAATGTTTTAATTGGAAAGAAAAAGCAGATTTGGAGCAATCTAAAAAAATTCAAAACGAAATCCAGCAGCAGTGGTCGTTTTTTGGCAGCAATCGTCCAACTTGTTTACACTGATTAAAAACGAATGAGGCAGCAATCACTTATTTATGTTAGAGTGCCAGATATAACTTCAAAAAACTGCAGGGTAGCAATTATTTAGAGTAAAACAAGTTCTGAGTGAAAAGTCATCTAATTCAACAAGATCATAAAACATGAAATTAAGTAGTGGATCAGTGAAACTCAAACAGGTCCTCATCATTTAAACATAGCACATGTTTGTTTTACACTATTGCCCTCAGAGCAGTTAAGAAAAACCCAAACTCACATATTTGTAAATCAATTCTAGTAAACTAGTGTATGTATTTTAATGAACATCTTTAAATCATTTTCTAGTTTGTTGCATTACAAGATGCATTTGAAATCAATAGGTTTGTAGGGTTTGTTTTTTTTGCAAATAAATGAAACCCTCTGTTTTTATCCAACCCATCCCCTTTATAATTGAAGTAATTATGAGGTATGATGATGTTGAGGGAAAAACAAAAAAACCTTAAACAGTAGTAGAGTGTGAATGGGGCAGTCAGAGTCTCTGACAGTAGTTTTTAGTCTTGCTGTAAATAAAGACAATTTATTTCTTTGCAAAAGCTTCTGAGAGAAATAATTAAATCTAAACCTGAAAAAGTGGAGTGTAACATTATGTAAAACTAAATGTGCTGATTTTTTTCAGTTCAGTTTCTCTATAGGTACCCCAGACAAGTATTTCCAACTCTACACTTCAATAAAGAGTGACTGTTTTTATTCATGATGCACATAGCTTATGCATTAAGTCCAATAAGGAGTGCTAACAGCTTCTGTTAAGCCTACAGAGAAAGATCTATAATTCAAGTCATCCATGATAATTTTGTAGCTGTAATCACACTTTTAAATCCAAATGTTATTCTTGCAATATAGTGAATTTAAAGCTTTGAACAAATTAAAATATGTATTTTACGCTGTCTTATTTCATATAAATATATAAAAAAACAATCTGAAAAGTGTGGGGCGCATACGAATACATCCATCCATCATCTACTGTATATCCACTTATTCATTGAGGACAACAGCAGTAGTGTTGAATGTCTTCAATCTTCAAGCAGTCAGGATACCATCAGATGGAGACATTCTGGTAGAGCAGGAGTCTTCAATCCAGTCCTAACAGTCTGGTGTTCTACACCTTTAGGATATGCTTCCACACACCTGAATCAAATGGCTGAAGTTCCTTCTCAATATGTATTCAAGGTCTCCATAGTCTTACAAAAGACCTGATTGTTTGACTCAAGTGAACATATGTCTAAAAAATACATTTCAGTTCCATCTGATGTGGATAGGTGTTTGAGGCCTTCACAGAAAAGGTTCATTGTTCATCATTGTTTTCAAATTCCTATTTATCATTTATTTCTAATTGTGGAAATAGTATGGAGGTACCTATTACTATTTCATGGACGAAAATATCTCTTTATTTATAGCTTTTTTTTTTCCCCTCAAGAATAACGCGGCCCCAACTCTTGCATGCAACAGGGGTGGAGCTAGATGGGGGGGCCAGGGGTGGCCATGGCCTCCTTTAGCCATTGGCCACCCCTGTGGCCACCCCTACCATTTATTTCCCTCTAATACAGATGGTGGCAACAGTAATACTCTCAATTGGAATATTCAAAACATTTAGATTTTTATAAATTAATAATTCATTGACAACAAAAACACTGTGGTTAATTATGCACATCAATATACCAACATTAGAGATGGTAAGTACAGAATTCATGCTCTTTTCATAAATAGATTTTGTGTTTTATGTGGTAAAGAGAAAATGATGTGTCTCTGCAAGTCATCTAGGAGTCTTCAGTGAAATCATAGATAAATAACTATTTTAATAAAAATTCATTAAATAATCAATTTATTTAGATATTAGTACTTGTAAATATCAATCTTATGCAGAATTACGGATAAAAGTAGGTAAGTAATGACAATGGAAAAGATGTTCACTCAAAACTCAAACCTGAAAGAATTTTAAAAAGGACGGATGTTTGAATATATTCATCTAATTGTTAGCAAAGGCCGTAGGAAAGTATAGTTTGTCTTTATTTAGAAAATATGGATTTTCTATAGATTCTGGTGCCTATCTACTTTCGGCCACCCCTAAGTGTACATTGGTTATTGCCTGGCCACCAAAATTTGTGCCTACGCCTCTGGCTCGATCACAACATATGTGCTATTACTCTATCAGGCGGTTGGAGACCATGGTGACGTGATAAAAAAAAAACACACCTAAAAACCCCACAGGAAATAATGGTGTGAAGAAAGAAAGGAGATCTAAAAATCCCATATTTTTGAGTGATTATACTTTCGCCTACACACACAGTTAAAGCTCTGTTTATAGAGAAATCATTAATGGTCCCAAAACTGAATACAGTATATTCATAACTGCTACCAGTTCTTTAAAATCAGCCTTCAAGCACCACAAAGTTTGAGGAAAAAAACTAGAGAGAGTGGTGACGTCACACAGCAGAGTGAAAAGGGAAAGATTTCTAAAATCAAGAAAATATTTTTACATCACTCTCATGCCCCAAAACTTTGCTCTACAGTAATTATTGTACAGTGAGTTTGTAGACTGAAGTATTTGTTTTCACACATCTCTGTATTTACTGGAGGATTTATAGTTTTTCCTCAAATCAGAGTCCCCAAAAGTCACTGAATGTTTTATCAATTTTACATGTATTCTCACTGTGACTCCAGCACAAAATGCAGGAGTGACCAAATATTTTTACATCGTTCTAAATATTTCTGTTACTGAACTACAGATATGACCCAAACTCTACCACACTTGGGAATTAAACTCCGAAATTCTTTTTCACAACATACCCAGTTTCAAAATAAAAGCATCCCATTTCCAAAGCATCTATTGACCTAATAACAGGTAAAAAGACATTAAACAACTGAACTTGGATTTCACATCACTGGTGAGTCTGACCTTATCCATAACAGACAACCACTTTCAGAATAAGATTCCCACTACTCTACAAAATAAAACCCTCTCATTTCCACTGTAATAAATTCTCTATTAACCTCATAACTGGAGAAAAAGTATTGATTAAATATTGCAGATGGTCTCCACAACTCACCACAAACTATAGCAAACCAAGTAGCCTTAACCTTGCAAGGCGACATAAGTCGGCTATGCAGCCAAACCTACATGGCTGGCGCCAGACCACTTTAAAATTTCCTTTGGGGAATTTTCTAGTCTGTATTATACTTATGGATCCTCTCAAGTCCAATATTCCTTGCTATGTTATTTTCAATTCAAAAATCCCATAAAATACATTTGAATTTCATGTTACATGTTAAGAAATAGGAAGAACCTGTAGACATGACTCCTCTTTCTAATCACTCTCTTTTTTGGGGCTTTTGTGCAGGTATCCTCTGTAATAGAATGCCTAGTTGTTCTACATATAAATATACTCCAAGATGCTTTTATTTATTCCTCGTTACATCACCTACTTTTCAACAAGCACTAAATTATCCTCACCAGCACACTGTCTGCTCTGCGGATTACATTGTGCGTCTGGTTCACGCTTGAAGAAAGGCCAAAGACATAATTTTCTCCTCAATTGGAGAATGAAATTGTATTTTTTTTTTCCTTACACTCATTCAAGCTTGTCGTTTGTGTATGGGTAAGTGTGTGTGTGCATACTTCTATAGGCTGCGGGTCATTGAGATGATCGCTTAGGTCCATCAGGATCTGCGGCATCCATTGTGGAACGTCATAGGGGCTTGACAGGATGCACGCACTGAGTCCAAGCACTCCAGCGTGGCGCCTCACCAAGTCTGCCTCACACACACGCACACACATACAGAGCGTTAAAAGAGGCTTTATATTTTTTAAGTCTCACTACTTCCCTGTAATAAGAGAAGGGTAGGTGTTACTGTAATTTCTGTGTTGTATAATGCATTTGTGTGCTCATTTTATCTGTGTACCTGTGGAAGCCAGCTCTCCTCTGGCCTTGGGGAGGGACGTCTTACTCAGCGTCTGAAGCTGGGTCTGCAGACTGGAGTCCAGGGGGAAGAATTGGCACTGCAGTAAACCACTAAGGGTGGTGCAGGCCATGTCCCTCACCTTTATGGGACAAAAAAGAAAATTTGGAAGAGGAGCACAATGTATATGGCCAGACTATCTTTAGTCTGGCCATATACAAAAATGGCCAGAGTAAAGATCCCAACCAGTAGATTAAATGGGAAAATACAGCGATAGGGAAGGAAAAACTCAATAATTTCTCTGCATCCCTATGCATAAAATTGAAAATAACACTAAGCAAAAGTGGATAAAAATACCCCAGACACTGCTTCAAAGCATTCATCAGCTTTACTAAATACTACAAACTGCAATTTTAATTCAGATGCAGCTTGTGACTTAAAATACTTCATGCATTTATTTTTCTTAATGCTTATGTCGCAACTGGGGGGTTTTATTTCTAGTATTTTTTTTTAAGTGGTATGACAGGAAATTTAGAGAGAGGGGGGGAAAGACCAGGAGTAAAGGTCTATGGGCCAGGACAACATAATCCCATGACAGAAGCACCCTTTACTCCTGCCACACCAATCCAAGCATATTTATGGGAAGTTATACAGAAGAAAAAAAAAAGCTTCAAATGCAATAGGTTTAAATCAACCAGAGGATCTTAAGTTGATCAGATCCAGTGGGAATTTTCCCATGGTGTATAATTAACCATATCATCTGCTAAGGTAGTGGTGGTCCATTGTTTTTTAAGTCAACATTCTACATTGCTAAATATCAGGTAACACGAAGAGCACGTCATGCTTCATTCTGCTGATACAAATAATAGAGATGCTAATTTAATTTTTCACCTGTTCACACCACCCAAGTGCAAAATACCTTCTTTGATAATAAGTTGCTACTGTGCCTGATTGGCTGAGAAAACGATCTGAGTGAGAAGAGAGAGGCTAAAGGTCTCCCTGCCTCTGATGGAGTAATTTGTTCTAATGTATGTTTCAAACAAATATTGAGTATATAGAGTTATACATGCGTGTAATTTTCAGAAGGCTTTCTTTTCTAATTTTCAAAATACTTTAGGCATGGGCTACATTATTAATTGCTTTTAAATACAGATTTGCTCCATCAAGTTCTCTCTAGAAGCAGTGAGGAAAACTTAATTTTGAAGCAACAATCAAGAACAGAGAAGAAAGAGACAAAGCAAAGGGATGAGTGGTCCCATAATCCTCTGTCAGTTAGGCTTTATGAGAAATAGCAGCATCATATCTGAGCTTGGTGTCCAGTTATATTTTACCTCAAGCTGTTCGTCCAGGAGCAGCTGCATCACAAGCTTTCTAATACGCAGAACCTCGACAGGCAAACTAAGCAGAGTGAACAGATTGTAGAAGACCGTGATCTGAAGGTAGGTCAGAACTGAGAAGCGAGTATGCCACGATCTGCTGCCCGCCATCTGAAAATGGAAGGTCAGAGAAAAAGAATGACTTCAAGTAAAAGTGTGTGATGTACAAGGCAAGGAAATGTCTTGTTCATGTTCCATAAACATGTTAAGTACATTGGTTCAGCTTTTTTTTTATGTTCAAGTTAAATCATTTGATCAACTTTTTTTAATAACTACACCTTAGAGATATTACCAGGTAAACACTTATATATCTGGTAATTTCCAATAGGTCTAAATTGCTCATAATGCTCATACAAATCCATACATACAATGATGTTCTTTGCATTTATATGTGATCTGGTTGCTATTTAACCTTCTTTAGGATGTCTGTTTTGACAGTTTCCAACAAACAAGAGCCATTTTTTAGGATGGATTTATATATATATTTCTATATCTATAATAGAATCTGTAGATTACTTTAAATAGGTACTACTAAATGATGAAAATGAAACAATGTAAAACAACATGGTTATCAGTTTAGATGATGACACTGCAAAATGTTCCCACAACTTCAAACCCAGAATAAATGTTGCTAACTTCAAAAGAAGAAAAAAATGTTCATGGCTGAATTGATAGTATGGGTTTGAGAGCAGAATTGCAGATACTTTTTTTTCAATTAATATTTAGAAGGGTATAGACAGGTTTCCCCAGCCAGAACTATGAGTGGTGTCAGGAGCAGGAGCATCCTGCAGACGGTGGTGTGCAGAAGTGAGAGTTGCAGATATAAATGAGTGTAGTCCATGTTTGTTAAGACAGCAACTATTGGGATAAATAAGGGGTGAGTAACTCCACTCCTCCGGTGTTGGTATGCTGCAACATTTAGATTAATCCTTGGTTCAACACACCTGAATCAAAGGGCTGATTCAGTATGAAGTCAATTTCTCCAAGGCCCTCTCACTCATTTAATTACTTTACTCTGGTCGTTGGACCTGGGACACATCTAAAAGGATCCAATTTTTGATGCACAATGGGTTAGATATTAAACAAAATCTGGATTCGCCTGATATGATATAGCTTTCAAAAATGTTTTAAAAACACAACCAATTTAAGAATAGATTTACACTCAGAGCAGCTTTATTACTCTGAAAACATGATTCATTGATATAATTAAATCATATTGTTATAAAGCTCCAGCCAAAGTGCTTGATTTGAATTAAATACTGAAGCAGGATAATAAGAGAGCTGGACTTAAACATATGCCTGCAACCACAGAAATGAGTACCTTCAACATCATTGTTTAAGGATTGCTCAAATATGTATCACGACAAATACAATAAAAGATTCATAGATAATGGGACCATTCTGTTATCATTGATTGGCTTCCTATAAATGAAGCTAATTATTAATATCCGATATTGTAGAATAGCTGAAAGAGTCATACTTTAAGGTGAAAGTAAAAAAAATAACGGTAGGCTCATTGACCATAGAAGGAAAGTCTAACAAACAAGATGAACATAGTTAAATAGAGTTGAAATGCTGAACCTTGAATGTGCCAATTTATAACATATTTGGTTTTTTTTTTAAGTGCAGATAAAAAAATCAGAACCTCATATTTTTCTAAATCTAGGCACAGACTTTCCAATTGGTTGGTATTTAATATGAATGGCAAACGTGGAGTAGCAGAGATTCTTAACTAAAATGTGTGCAAAGACACTTCCTTCATTTTTATTCTCAATCAGATTTGATGCAGTGTATCAGTTTTCAAGTAATACCATAGATCTGGATTACTTCAATGGGACTGAATACTTTTGCCAAGAATACTTTTGTCAAGACCTGACTCATGTCATCATCTTGCCAAAAATACAACTTATTTTCAAATAAATGCCCATAGAAAACCTAAAAAGTAAAAATAGGGTTTAGGTTTCTCTTTTTACGATGACTCGGGGGTTATTATTTCTCCAGCCCGACATCTTGGCCAGCATTAGGATTGAAATACTGACAGCAGTTCCATAGGGCAGTGCGCCTTATGAGTATCCTGTTGTGTATGTGGGTGTGTGTGTGTGGATACCTCCTCCAGTGCTGCCAAAACCAGAGGGATGTGCTCCGGATACAGTAAGCCCTGGGACATGAGAGAGAGACATGTTCGTGCATCCTGCTTCATCTCATCATAGCTCTCATCAATCTCCACTGGGGCAATCTGCAGGGGGAGACAAACAGAAGAGTGAGACAGAGAGGCAGGAAGACACACAGCAACGCACCATTTTCAGTAAATGAAGAGAGAAATTGTGTTTAATGGGCAAGTAAGATTGAGTGGGTAATAACGCTGTGCTGGGACCGGTGGGTTACTGCGCGTGCACATGTGTCTGTGTGTGTTGTTACCTTGAAGAGCAGAGGCAGGAGCTGTAGCTGCTGCTGAACAGGGGTGGTAAATGTTCGCCCTGCACTCGCCATCAACCACTTCAACACTGCAAACACAAATATCGCTTTATATACGTAGATATGAGTACCAACATACCATGCACACAAACATACATACACACGCACAGAAATTTACTGGGAAACGACTTGAAATGCAAATTTTGGGCTGTGGTCTTGCTGCATTAATCTGTTGGTCACACACAATTCAACTCATTTAGAAAGTAATGACTTGTATGAGCAGATATTTCGTCTGTGCAGTGTAGAGCGAAGACCTGGAAGGAGGAGCATTTCCCCGAAAGTAATCGAAGAAATCAAATAAGTTAGTTTTAGGAGTTATTTATATATATATATATGATAGGCCGTGGCAAATCCATCAAGAGGTCTGCCCGGGACAGTTTTGAGTTATTTTCAGATCTAGAAAGATGGAGTTTAAGGTTTCCAATGAGGTCAAATTTGAGGAATCTACGAAGAACATAAGGGGAAAAACTAGCCTTGGAGATCCTCCAGAATCACCCTAGAGGACAGCTGGCGGTAACAAAAGCTGTTAATCTATAACAGTACCCCCAAAACTGCATCGTTTTTCTATTTTAAGGTAATTTACAGCACTGCAGTACAATATTTGTGTTACATCTGTGCATTGCATAGACAAACTTCAAGATTAAAAAAGACAAGTTAATATTACCATGCATATTGGGACCTTACAATAACTTACATTTATTTTAGATACTGCATTTATGTATAACCTTGACTTTTAACCCAGCCCTAATAACTCTTAACATTAAAATTAGTACAAAAATTGTCCTAAATAGGTGACATATACAAGTACACACACACATTTTGTGTTATTCTACCCATGTGGGTCCTTTCCATTCATATTGCATTAATTTAAATAGCTTAATCCTGACCATCGTCATCATATACCTAACCCTAAACCTATTCTAAACTCAATAGACACCTTAGTCCTAAACATTGCCAACACTCTAGGAAGAGAACTTCTTCTTAGGGACTAGTTGTTGGTCCCCACAAATACCAATAAGTCCCCAAAATGTAGCATATTCCTGGAAAATTGATCCCACCGGGTAAAAAAATACATGACCACGAAAAAAAATAAATAAATAAAATAAAATAAAATAAGAGCTTTACATAAACAAAAGTGTAAATTTCAACTGTTTAGTCTTTTTTTTTATTTTTTGCTGTCTGGAAGTAGCATTGTGACTGCAACTTGGTCTTAAATTAGCATGTTGGTTGAATTTTCAAGGTTTTTAGCAATTGTTCATTCCATAGGTAGGACATTGTGGTAAAAGACAGCAGTTTTGAAATAAGTTAATCTACAAGACACTTGTAATGCCGTAACTTGATCTATACCCATCATTTAGGTATAGAGGGGTTTACTATTATAACTGCTTAATTCTAACAACACCTAAAGGATGGGTTCTATTTCTATATTATACACCAGAATGCTGCTTTTTATTAATTGTACTTGTTTCCCAATTTTAATCCCTCTGCAAACTTGCCGTCTTTGTTAATTAGCCTCCATGAAAGAAAAGAAAAATTTATGTTTCAAATCTTTAATTTCCTCTCTTATATTTTGGAGCTATTTTCAAAACATAAATATAGAGAAGTAATTTTGGAAAAAAAAGAGTAATTTCTGAATGAAATTAATCATTCAGAAAATTGTGTCCGAACATTTTTAAAGTCAGAGGAAGCACAAAAGATGATAGAAGATTTAAAGGTATAGTCGAGGATTTTGCAAATTTTTTAAAAGATCCGCCCTCTCGAACACTTACTAAATGCGTGCAAGAGCATGCACGAGCCTATTTATCCTCGTGCACACCTCCAAGCAATCACTCGCTCCAGGGCAGTAGTACGAGAGCAAAATAGACTTAAATAACAAAATCACAGTTTGATTCTGAACATCTAAACTTTAGTTGAAACCTAATGTATTATAAAATAAATGTATTTAATATTTATCTTCATTGGAACTACCGGTAAATATTTAATAATTTACATATTGGGTATGTTTTATAACAGGAACCCTAAATAAATGGTTTGATTATTTATTATTTAATAGAAATGTGACTTACAGTATCTTGTACTGTACCACATGCTGTCAAAGTTTTCTATTTTTGTGAAACAACTGGATCCTGCTTGAAAGCAACAGTATTTCACATCATTCAAACCAGTTTACAGATTCATTAAAAACAATTGTATAATTTCAATTTGGGGAAAAATATATAAAAATCCCTAGTTTTCTGAATAATAATCTAAAATATTTGATCAATTTCTCACCAACCCAGCAATACACGTAAACCTTTCACATGACCTGACATGGCCCATCAGATGTATATTACAGTATAACACTCTGGTTGCAGGCAGATCCTGTATCTTTTCTATACATATATTTGTGTTTTCCTTGAACTTTTGCGCTGCTAAACTCATCTAGCCCAGTCAAAACTGTCTTAGCAAGAAAATATTTTCCCCTTCAGAAGTATTTTTTCAACATGTGTAGTAGGTGTTTCTATGACTAAATTACTAACCAAAATTTGCACATTAAAAGCTTCAATTTTAGATTAAAACCAATGATGCACCAATTCTAGATTTAGTGGCCAATTTATTTTTTTTAAGTTTAGAACTACTGATGCTGATTAAGGTAGATTCTGATTTTGTTTCAGAAATATAAAGCAAAGTAGAAATTTGTTTTACCTTCGGTATGACTTGAACATTTACAATGTGTAATAAAAGGTTTATTGTAAAACAAAACAATGATTCAATGAAAGTTTTGTAACATAGAAAAATCCCCCAGGTATTAATAAATAAAATGATGACTGGAAATCTCTGCTATTACAATACCAGACAAACTAGTTCCTAAACTACTTTATTTTGCAGCCTTCGAAATGTAGACCTCAGGCATATGGCTTTCTTTAGTAATTTAAAAAAATAATTGCTTCATTCAATGTTTTATTTGTTGTTACTTAGTTACATGAAACATGACGTCACAGTTTTTGCTCCCCAACCTGCAAGGCTGCTTTACAACTGAAGTTAAATTGCTTAAATGTTGCTTATTGTATAAACTATCCTCCTGTCCTGGGACATTGTTACTGCAATATGAGCTCAGACACAAGTAAAATAAAATGCTGGTGAATGCTAATATAAAGCAGCAGGAGGTCCTCCAGAATCAAATTACAATCCTTCTCAGCTAAAATCAATAAAAAAACAAAATTCTGCTGTGATTATTGAACTGTATAACCTGTAAGAACACATCTTAAAGGTAACCTCCAAACAAATGAATTGGTGTCCTTCCCCTAAATCATTTTTTAAACGTTTATAAATGCACCCTTAGAATATGCCTTCGATCGATACTTCACAAGCTTTTAAAAAAATGAATTTACAAAAGGTGGAATCAATGAGAAGCTTTTAACTTGTGTCATTCAGCGTGTTCCTCTGTTTCGACAATCAGAACAAGCTGTCATCCCACATTTAGACCCCCACCAACACCACTACTATCTCATTCCTGCATCCAAATTCTAACCCGTTTTCAGTAGCTTGACAGCCTGGGTTCGTTCGTCCATCTCCTGGGTGTTCTCCTCGTGGATGTGGTTGTGAATCTCAGGCTCTGACGTGAGGGGCTTGAGCCGCTCCAGGACCCGGGTGACGAATTCTGCCACATGGGGGGAAGAGGTGGGCCTGGTGTGGGGCAAGGCCACGTCTATCATGAAGATATAGGTCAGCACACTGGAGAGACGATGGCGAATGAAGGAAAGAGGAGAGGAAGGGCTTGTTTAAAAGGAAAAGAATCGTTGGTGCGGAAAGTGGGTAGCTGAGGTAAATGTGAGCTTAAAAAAAGGACAAATAAGATGATAATTTCAGGATGTAATCAAATGATCATCTACCTTCCTATTCGCTCCCTGACATTTTTATACACCTGGGTGAGTTTGGGCTCCAGGTAAGCCAGCAACCGGTGCAGCAGTTCAGAAACTCTCCATTGCTGCTGGGCGAGACCTCCCTGAAGCACATATAGCAAACTGACAGAGACAGAGCAGGAGAGGAAAGCAGGAGAAGGGATGAGCAGGAGGAGGAGGAGGGTGTTTTATATACTGCTGCAGCATGTGTCAGTTCAGGTTACTGCTGCAGCCTGAAATCTGAATCCTGGAAAATATTGTAGGTGACATAAACACGCTACGTGTGCATAGTTGCTAATACCTGGCATCCCTGAAGGAGCCACCCTCTCCGCTCAAGGGGCTCTCCATCAGCAGCTCAAACAGCCAGTGGAGTTTCCTGGGGTCTCTGCCCTCCTGTTGGAAACACACAGCCAGAGTAGTGTTGTTTTTTTCTTTCTTTGTAGCCCAGCTATTTTATATAAGTACCGTAAATAGCTGTCATCTATTTTGGGCGTTTATATATACATTAAAGGGCATGCATAAAACTTTTTATCAAAATCATGAATTAAAAAAATAATAATACATCCTATATAAAAAGTCTAAAGTGATGCATAATAACTGTTCTTATTTCAATGAGGAAAATATGTAGTAGATAAACAATGTGTTATACATTTTTCCAGGTCCAAAATATTGACATGAAATGGTTTCGCACTAAAAGGAATGATAGCTTCAAGTCATAAAAGATAGAGGAAAGGTGTTGCCAGACCCTAGCTTATAGCTAATAAATTGTTTCTTGTAACACTTTCATTTCTAAGACTTAAGCCAAAAAACCCCAAAAGAAATAAAACAAGGGTGAACGCTGCGAGCTGGTGAGCTCTGGTGTGTTCTTAAGAAAACAAAGGGCCCAGAAGCAATGCAGTTACCGCTTATTTTCTAGACAGGTAAGTTAAATATCTGCTAATGCTAACCAAAGGTTGCTAACTAAAGGTGAGCATCATTATCATTAATGCACCTGGCAACTGACTGGCAAACATTACTGAACTACCCCTCGATAGAATTACTGAGAATTTGTTTCAAAATTGATAATTATTTTGTGCAATGCATATCGAAAAAAATACATTATTTCTATGAATGCAACAAAACTAAAATATTTTATGACTTAAAAAGATGGATAAAAACAAAAATGAACTCTTTCTGAATCGATTTCAAGAGATATGATAACATTTGGAGTCTTGTTGAAAAACCAATGCCCCCCCCCCCCCCCCCCCCCCCATGTTAGATAGATCTAGATTTTCATACAGATTCTGCTATTAAAAAAAAAAAAAGGACATATTTAGACAAAAGAAGACAGGTTATAATAAATTATTATAAGTTATTGAGAGCCATTACAAACTAGTAAATGAAAATGTGTGGCACAACAATGGTAAATGCAAGTGTTTCAAACTTTGCTTAGTTTGACTAAGGTCACTTAAAAAAATCACAATTGAAAAGTAAATGTATTACAATTCCTTTCTTTGAAAAATAAGCTTCTATAATGAAGATTTTTTTATATGCTTTCTGAAATATTTGTTTCTGTACTTTTCAATAATTATGGCTTAAAGTTTATTAAACCTTGCATTAGGTTCGCTAAAAATGATAAAAATTACAAAGTTCCAATTAAACCTGCCAGAGATATATCATTCTGATAACCCCCCACTTTAAACTTATCTTAGCATTTTGATTAAAAATTAAATGAAAGGAAAAAGTGTAAAGTCAATTTGGTACAAAGTATATACACTGAAGTGGTGAGCACTGTTTTGCTTAAATTACAGCATCATTGCAGGGTGACATAGAAGGCTGTGGCTCTGCTAAATGTGTTAAGGAAATCTAGGCTACTGCAGTAAACCGACGACAGCCAACAAACCATCACTGAATAGATTTACACCAACTTGCTTTGCCTGCCTCTTAACTCTTCCTCCAGACTCCAGAGATTTTATTTCCAAAAAAAAAAAAAAAAAGAAAAACACAAGATTTACTTTAACATGAAAAGAGGCCTTTGGATAACTAATCAAAGTCAAGTAGAATTGGGTGCAAGATTTGTTCAACACAAGGTATATGGCAGATCTAGTCTATATCCCTTATAAATCATTCCTGTTCTCAAATTTCATAAATATTTAACTTGGAAATAAGTTATGCAGCCCTTTGTGGGCATCTACCACAGTGCCTGTAGTAGATGCCCACATTTGACACATGCTGGATTCCAAGATGCTAAAGGTCACAGAGAGCTGCAAGCTCATGAGAGGAAGAAGTTATGAGGAAAGTGTGCAACTGATATCATTACAGCAATACTTTGCATAAGTATTGCAACAGTATAATTTTCTTGCTGCTGTGTCAACGATTGTCTGCTTAACATATGTCAATGCAGCAGTTTTTTTCTATGTCTATATGTGCTGTGAAATAAGGTTCCTCTTATAGCAAAAATAATCTTAAAAATAAATATTGGGACTATATCACTCATAATAAATTGAATGTTTGTTTGCTTAGTGAAATAATTTAACTTTGCAATGATATTGTAATTTTTTTGGGTTGCATATGTGCAATTTATCAAGATAATAAACATTTTTTTAAAGAGGTGTTGAGACATTTCCCTGAATAGGATGCAACTGTTAAAGGACAGAAGCCATAATCCCTTCAAGGCTGCTAGAACAACTGAATCTTTTAAAGTGTATGACAATACTGTATAAAAATCCCTTTTTCTCTTTAAAGTGTTCTACATTGGATAGTCTGGCATTTTCTGCATGCAGCTGAGTCACTCACACAAGCTGTGGCGATGCATGTGCCCCAGTCTGTGTAGGTTTCCACAGTGATGTTGTTCAGCGCTGTCCTAATCAAAGGGCAAAGAAGCTGCCATAACCTGTCCACCTAACACACACAAACACAGAGTAATGAGAGTTTCTACAGATATTGACTTTTCCTACGGAGAAGCTGTATTGTGGGTATTTTTGTCTTGCTTCTGTAGCTTGTGTTTCTCTGGCACCTTGCTGAAGCTCCAATGTTTGCTGCCTCTGATTAGTCCGGCGGTAATCTCACACAGGCAGCGCTGCGAACTCTCATGGGGGTCAGTTGTGAGCTGCTCCAGATGAGGCCATAGCACTGGTAAGAATATGTCGCCATAGTTACGAAACAGCCCCTGTCAATCAAACGTAAGTATTCTGGTTTAACTGCCAAAAAGCATTTCTTTTTTAATTATGCAGAACAAAAATTACAGAGGACACAGACAGTAATTGCAGCCCTGGTGAAGCTCAACTTCGGCCTGAGGCGGCATGCTGAGTCGTTGCTTTGTTAAAGAGTTGTCACTTTGTCACTGGTTAAGAGTTAAAATCTGCACCTTGAACAGGCAGAAACGGCGCGGGTTGAAGCTGTCCTTCCCTTTCCGCTCCTCCAGAGACAGAAACTCTATCAACTGGTCAATAAAGTCAGCTTCCGAGAAGTACTCAAAGATGATCTTCTCACCCTGATTGACGTACAAATGCATGCAAAAATGAATAATCACATAGAGATCTTTGGATTTTTTTTTTGTATTTGTCTATGTGGTGCACGATGAGGACGCACCTCACTCATCTCCTCGTATGGCAGGTCATCTTGTGGCTTTTCAGAAGATGCATAGATCATCATTTCTCTAAGAGAAGCGGCAGACAAAAGAAGAGGCTGCTGTGATTTATAGATAACAACACAAAGGAAGAAAAAATTCTCAATAGACACACAGTGTCTTCAAATAAGCGGCAAGGATAAATGGATGATTATAAAGACAGTTACTCAGCAGGCAGAGCGCATACCAAGACAGCAAACCCTCTGCCTATACATCAATTCCTCTATTTGGGAGAGGCAGTAAGTCGTTCATTCTGCCTTATCTAGGCTAGGCCATGACAGGAAGTCAGTTCCACCCCCCGCAAGTTATCCAGCAACCCAAATCAGTCATCCAGCAGTCAGTCAGACATAAACGTGGCTGCAGAGCCACAAAGACCAGCTCCAAATCAAACAGGCACTTGAGTCAATCAGCTATTTCGCTTCTTCACACTAAGCAGTTAATCAGCCTTCCAATTTGTAAACCCACCACAATTAGTCATTTTGTATTTACCTAGGCCATGAGTAGTAGCCCAAGTGTGTTTTCTCAACGTACTGCAGACAGTCCCACTGCTCCTGGCTCAGAGGTAGGTTGTTGCTGTCATACTGCAGCCAGCGGTTCCCCTCTCGATCCCCGACACAAATCCCCTCTGGATCCTGGATCCCACCTAAACAGAATATGCAGCTGTTATTACACAACCCACAAAAAAAAAAAATCCCCCAACCGACAAAATGGGATTGTCCTCTTATTGCACAGTTAAGAAAAGCCACAACACACTGCTAATTCAAGCACCAAACTGGGGTGGCAATGACAAGTATAGAGAGTGGACAGAGGAAAGGTAAAGAGATGACAACAGTGACAAACAAAAAGAAGAATATTTATAATAGTAATGTGGGTGATGTTTGTGTGTATGTAAAAGGGGGAGATTGTATTTAAGGTCACAGACCCAAGCAAAGCATAGCAGCAAGTGCCAAACATGGGATAGATACAGAACAACAACCCCCAGACACCAGCATACACCCACACCTAGGACTTTTGCACCCCACACAGTGGCCACCCAGAACACAACTGCTTTATGAAACCGACCAAGCTGTGAAGCCAAGGCAAAGCAAAACTGCTCCACTAATCCATTGAAATAGCTCAATTAGGAAGCACCTGTGCACACCCCTAGGAATTCATAAATTACACTTAAGTCAGGATCTGGCCCCAGCACTCCAGAAGATTCCAAAACCCATGATTTAAAATGTAGGCCATGACCCCTTACCATTAGCCAAGCAGTAAGACACCCAAGAGGCAACACATTACACCCCCATTAGAGAATACCTAAAATAAAATGTGTTCTTTCTTAGAAAGACAGAGGATCAGATGTTTCCTGTATTTTTACATAAATAACATCAGAAAAACCACCACACCCACTATCCCAATCTCCAACATTGCAAAAGACCTTGTGCCATGTCAAGTCAGCACTCTGACTATGACCTGCCATACCAAACGTGACGGCCAATTGAAAACCAGCAGCGTACCTAGATCACTGGGTTGGGTTCACAATGGGCCTTTTTTTGGGCACCCTGAAGGGTTAATAAATATAATTCATATCAGTGAAACAAGTAGGACACACTATGTGGGAAAAGGTGATCATGTGATTATAAATAATATATATTTAAATGGGCAAGACATATGGGAAATATGCCAAATACATAAAGGGGCTAGTTATTACCCAGAGTTGTGGAGGAGAAAAAACAAAACCAATTTGTTTTTTTACAATTTATTACCCAATGTGGAACCACTGTAGTAATCTGTTTTTAGTGTATTTTTTATTTTATTGGCCCCATGTGTAAATATGGACAGTACAGAGTAGCAGAAGATTAGAAGAAACCCCTAATATATACTGAAAATGACAGTTAAAACTTTTTTTTTTCATTATACACATGTATTAATTTACGATATGTGACTTACAAATATCAAGAAAACCCTTTTCTTATGGGAATCTGGTATCCCAGAACTAATTGGATCATGGATTTATTTTGGAGTGTATCAACTCACTTATATCCGAAGGCTTAATGGCCACTTTCTTTCTTGGCCTCTTCAACTGTTTCAGAATACCAGCCATTGCGGAGATTGCAACCTAATGGAGAGAAAGGTTAAACTGATGACTGAAATGCTTTAGAGATTTGCTATCCTAATAACCCAGAGAAGCATATATCCATATTCAATCAGTTTTTAAAACCCAATAAAAAAGAGATAAATTGCATATTCTAGCAAAAGCTTGAAAAATCGATAAATAAGCTGTTGAAATGTCATTAATGTTTCAACAGTATTTTATCACTTTACCAATCTGGCTTTATAAAAAATAAAAGAAGGGTTTCCAACCCTATGAAGGTTCTCACTGATGTAATTGAAGCACTAAGCAAGCAATTACTGTGCTGTACTATGTTTGGACCTGTTGAAAGCTTTTGACATGGAATTTATCATAGAATATTATGTCAAAGGCTTTGGACATTAGATTCACAGATCACACCAAAGCTTTGTTTTTAAATAATTCAACAGAGTGCAAACAATATGTCTGACTTTGCGCTCTGACATCCAGTTATTTTGACATTGTAAAAGGAGTCCCTCAAGGCTCAGTGTTAGGGCCCTCTCCTTTAACCATTTAGATAAATGCGGTGGGACAAGGTCTCAAAGATACAGCTGGCGATCTTTATTCTGATGATTCTGTGATCTACTGTCATTCTATATCCATTGATTCAGATTTTTTGTATACCTGCAGTCTTCCTTTGACACCATTCAGTGTTAACTTTCAGAACTTGGGGAGTGGTGGCCTAGTGGTTAGGGCATAAAGCTTGGAATCCTGAGGTTCTGAGTTCAAGCCCCACTGCCACAGACTGCCACTCTGGCTCTCTGAGCAAGACCCTTAACCTCACACTGCTCCCCGGGCGCCCCACAATGGCAGCCCACTGCTCCCCAGGTTGATGGGTTAAATGCAGAGCAAAATTTTCCCAATGTGAGATCAATAAAGTTCAATTAACTTATACAGTCACTAAATGCAGGGGGGGAAAAAATGGGTATTTTGCGTATACACCTCTGCTTGTTGTCTCAACAAGAACAGCAATTTTGTCTCATTCTATAATCAACATGGCATACATATCCATGATATTTACTTTGATTTTTAAGGTCATGATGAAAGTTTGTTAAAAAAAGCTTAAGCTCAATCTATAATTCTTTTATTGAAATAAGTCACATTTCTCGTATCAGGAACCAAAACAGTGTTTGCCACCAACATGGCTGTTTTAGACTTTGGAGATAATGTGAATATGAAACCCTATTTTAGCCTTTATGCATGCTAGAAGCTGCGTATAATGGAGCATGTAAATTTATCAAAGATGGCAAAAACACTACTCACCATCTCACCTTGTACTCGTTGGTAAGCTGGCCCTCACTACATGTGCTCAGACTCTTCCACTGCTAATTGTTTAGTTATAAACATGTTCTCCATCTGGTGCCATTATACTTGTCTTGTTACTTTAGGCACAAAACAAACAATTGCTCTCTTCTCCAGTGTTCAAGCTATGCATACAGCACTGGGAAATGGTCCTTCCTTCTCAGGCCCCTCCAACAGGAAGAGAGTTTTATTAAAAGGGTTGGAGATAAGGTCTATAGCATGTGTTTGTATTATTTAAACATTTGTTCTTATCTTACTTTTTGTAATTTAAACTGTATGTTGGGACAATATTAAATCAATAATTGCTGTTGTAAATTGCTATGATCTTTTGGTTTGACAAGGGTCTCTCTTGTAAAATGAGACACTGAGTCTAAAGGGACAAACCTGTATGAATATAAACAAATACAAAAGAATTGATATAATTATATAGATCCGATATAACAGATCAGGACAAGGAACTGTAATATTACAGACTGAAATAAATTTTTGCAACAGGTTAAGGAGTTAAAGAATGTAAAAATGAATATCCCATATTGGTCTAATGAGTTATCTATTAAATGGTTACTTCCAGGAATAGTTTGGACATATTCCTACACAAACAGACTCGAGTATCACAAATATAATAGAATTTAGATATCTTATTTTAATTGGAGTGAGAGATACGTCACAGCTAAACTTGAAGTCACCTTTCTGAATCACAAACTTTCCTTTTTTGGCCAGACTTCAGCTCTGCTGTACATTTGTTTTAAGCCAGAAAGCACGCTTCTCTTTTTTGTTGTCCTTCACATTCTTTAATGTTTTTTGTTCTCTCTGAGCCACATTTTTAACTTAAAAGTTTGAGCATTGAACACTTCACTTTAGATGGATGACTGTTATATGACCTTTAAGTTTCAAACTCTTGTTTTTTACTTCCTAAAGATAAAGAATACCAGAGTATAATATTGTGAAAGATTACCTGTAGTTATCTCATGTTTATGGATGGTTCTCAGCAGTGATAAAAGATAAAAATAGTGGTAAAAAAAACTGAAGACAGTCAACATTTAAAGATATATTTTTTTAGGTCTAGTTTTTAGGTGTCACCTATGTAGTAACTTCATTAATTTATTGGATTATGCCACTTTAAATGATAGACTAACAGCCCTTAATTATGGAAGGAAGATGATTTGATTTTCCAATGTTTTACTAACATCAGATTGTGCACATCAGTATCAAGGTCCTTAACTAGGCATCCAATAGGGAGTATCCAACACAATTACTTGTTTCCAGAAGTTAACTAATTAGCAAAATTGAAGATTTGAGAAGATTAAATTAGCCAAAAACCCTGGGAGGTGATTTCAATTGAAAATCTAGAGCAAGACCTAAAAAACTGTCCTTCCTAAAAGTCGACCTCTAACCTTATCTATTTTACAAAGATTAATGGATCAAATATGGATCCAGATACACAAAGGTGGTAGGAACCTTCCCCAAAGATATACAGCTGTAACTGTCATTGAAAGAAATTACTGAAAAGTAAGGCTTACAGTATATTCATATTGAAATTGCTTTTAGCCTTTTTTTTTAATCAATGTGACATTTTCTTTATACTTCATAGCCATGCTCTACAATATCATGCCATCTCACATAAAAACACAAAAATGCAAAGTTTATTGCTGCAAAATGAAAAAATGAAAGAGTTCAAGGATCATAAATGCTCTGGCAAAGTATTATAAACTAACTTCATGGCCCATTGTTAGTAAAGACTGTAAAGAGTAAGTGCTTCACTTAAATTCACTCTACTGACATTTTTAAGTCACAGTTTATCTGCTTATAAAGATCAATTATTTTTGCTTCTGTTTAAGGACCAAGTTGTTTTTGAATTTTGGTTAAATTTAAACAAGCTACAGCCAACAGAAGTAGCAGAAGACAAAAACTTTAACTTGCATGAGAAAAATCTGCAAGCAACAAAGCAAGAATAAGTAGCTGTGCAGCAGCTGTGATCTGGCTGAGTTTGACCATCTGCTGTGCCTCTGATAAAATGCTGATGTTACAGCTTTATGCAAGATTTAACCGGCATTACTGAATTATGATCAACAGCTGTTAGGGATTGCTATTATGAAGCAAAAGCTATAAGGATATACATCGCTAGTTGTTTCTTTGGCCTTTATCCTAAAACACAGGATAAATCCAAGTTGAATTTTTAGGAGAATTATTATCGATTAGTAAACAAAGACATGGCCCAGGATTTATAGAGTTGCCCTGCATTTTCATTAACTTTGAGACATGATAGTAATGGTTTCGGTGTAAACTGAACCCTTCCATTCATTTTTTTAAAAGGAATCTACACAGTAATGGTCAAATTTACATAAAGGCTTGACATAAATAGCTACTACTGCAAAGGCAACCCACCTTATCTTTAACAAACTCTACAGAGTACAGGATGTATTTTTCAGTATGCTGCCATATCTGATTCTTAATTAATTTATATAATTTAATACCTTTTTATCAGTGTTTACAAAAAATGTGAAGGTGGCAGTCCAGGTCAGTAAAAATCAACTGAATAAATTTGTCAAACCTAAAATAAAATTAAAACTCAATATTTTTTGTAAACGTTGTCAATCATTGCGCTTTATAGCTTTCTCTTCACACACAATATCCTGTTACATAAGCTAAGATATAATCTAACATAATAAAACTTTGGGTAATGCTTTGCTTGGTGTTATTAAATCATTTTTAAGGATAAATACAATATTTGTACATTTAATGATGTTAGGATGAAAGCCAAACATCTGTGTTGAACCTGTCATAATATCTGATTTTGCATGCAAGAGCTGACCTTCAATATCTATGCTGATAAGGAACTCATGCATGAGAAAGAAAAGAACATTTATGCTTTTAGGTATCGTGTTACATCTGGAAAACTAGCACGCACTCTCACACACACGCATAAATAAAAACACTTTAGCCAACCTTATTTCCATTTTTATAACCTAAGGCAAGAGTGGATACCTGCAAACTGTTTAGATTTCATACACCATGAAGAAAAACACAATAATGAGACACACACACACAGATGCAGACCTTTCGTATGCTAATGGAGTCATGAACGAGAGTCTGTGTGAAGTAGAGGACAGCGTCAGGAGGAAGAGGATGATCATCTCGCAGGAGGAGAGCCAACAGATCTGTGGCCATGTGCTCAAACTTCCAGGGCCTGAAAAAAACAGACATACAGTGCACCCAAGCAAAACATTTTGGATGCCAAAAAAGTAATTACCTGTTAAACTACACCATATATATTCAGCTAAAAAAGTGGCACTGGGGCAAAAATAAACTCATAATAGCTAATAAGGAGTTTTCCTTAACGCTAATTTGACAGCATATCACTCATCGCTGGATCTATTTATGTCATATTGAGTTTTATTCTATAGTAATTATGCAGCATATTCAAGTAGAAGCATTACTGAAAGCCACTGAACAACAATAACGAGACTAAATTGACCTAAAAAAATCAGATATGCTTATAAACAGGCCAAGCATTTGTGAGAGTTTTAATCTGCTACTTTTTTTTTTTCTGTGGTACATAATTTAGCTGCATTTCTAATCCTACCTTTATCAAAGCTGTCGTATTTCTAGTCCTTGAATAATAATTAAATAGTTAGCTGCCTACATGGTAGCCTCATGGTAACAATCTATAAAAGAACTATCAAAAATCTTTTGAATTATTACCTTACAAAAGCCTTAAACTACTAATTTTCTAATTGAAACTTGCTGTACTGCAGTACTAATGCAAACAAAAAATTTATTTTCATTTCTCATATGCCTACTTCACTTAATTTTTGGTGATGAAATTAAAGAAACAAATTTTAAGCAATCCACAGCTTCTAAAGCAAGCATTCATTAAAAACAAGCATGTGTTTAATTTTTCTTGCTGCTGCTTTTTACGTAGCTTATTTTTTCTTTCAAAAAATAACCTGCCTGAATATTTTTCCAGGCAGTGAAAGTCAATAAAAGGATAAGAAAAAATCCAAAACTTTTGAGGCATTGACATAGACTTTGACTTTTCTTAAGTCCTCCCATAGCTACTGTAGCTTTTCTGCAGTGATAATGGCCAAAACATGTCAAAAGGATCTAAAACTCACTAATCAATTTTTAAGAAATCGCTAACAGAGGCTGTAAACTGATTATTTTCTTACTTACATCTGCATTTAGCTGTGCTTCATCGCTAACACAAAATTTAATTTTGCACTTTTACGATAATGAAGTGCTTCAGTAGTTGCCTCACTGCAAAAAATTAATTATATAAAACACATTGCTTGCTGGTTACCTAAAATTTAAGTTGATTTACACCAATATTAAAGCAGCTTTAAATTTTATGCAGCTATAATCTGAAGCAATGTCCCAGTAAACCTCAAAACAGCAAAAACACTAAATAGCTTTAACATGGCTGAAGGCCCACTTGTTTAGAGCTGCCTTTTATTATTAGTCCTCAAACAAATCCAGGTGAAAAGCTGCTCTAAATAAAATATCTTATTACACACTGACCATCTCCCTTCTTATCATGTGTGCCTGGTTAATGATTTTTGATTTTGTGTTTTGATTATGACATTTTGATGATTTTCTGTGTATTTGATTGAAGAATTTATAGCACATTGCAGCACATTTGTTCTGATGGTTTAAAGATTTGAATTGCTTTGCTGCTAAAATGTACTATATAAATACATTTTTATCCACTTACTTAATAAAATCACTGTTATTTCTTCATTAACACTAGAGGGGCTAGCATGATAAAGGTATAGTAGATGATGCTCTTTTTCCAGGTGGATCATCAAAATAAGTGGTTCTCATAATTGTCAATCATTCTGGTGATATGTTTACGTAAGGCCGTCATATGTGCTCATCACCATTTTCAATTACCGGTGGTAAGTCTGACATAGTGGAAAAATTGCAAATCTTCTTTAGGAAAGTAAGCTTGTATGAGTGATGCAAAAAGCAACTTTTAAACAGAGCGTGCACGAGGAAAAATGGGCTTGTGTAGGCTCTCACACATGTTTAATAAGCGTTCCTTCTCGGCAGCAGGTACATGGTGCATGCGCATTTTTTTTAAGTGGAGAGGGTGGGTCTTTTCAAAAATTCTAAAAAATACTCTACTATACCTTTAAGCAATAAATAATATTGCTTCAGTATTCTCTTTCTTATAAATGGGTCTCTTTCTCGACATCAAATGTCTAAATAGGCCAAAAAAAAAAGAAAAAAGAAAACTCACAAGTCTCTGTCTTCAAGGCAGTCCAAAAGGTCATTGACTAGCTTCTCATACTTCCTGTAATGAAAACAGACAACATTACCTGGGTGGGCCCCATATGAAGTACAACACCAGATAAAGATTCAGGATACTGCAACAGTTCCATACTGTAAATTGGCTGACAACCGGCAACGGACCCGAAATGTGCCCCATACATACTAAGACCCGTTCTCTCCTGTTGTGCATGCGCAATCACAGTAGTTCAAATGCGCACATGATGCGTGAATTATTATACTGTCTGCATGCTCTCACTCGCATTAAAAAACATTAAAATACATTGTTCTTTTAAGATCTTTAATGCGGTTTAAAACATATTACCGGTATATGAATGTATTTCTTACCAACCGTCTAATGAACTATACACAGTTATTAATATAGTAATTCAAAGTACCACTGTCTGCTTTGCTATTGGTGTGTTTAAACGGCTCACCATCATGTTAAAATCTGGCATGTGTTGCGGTATAAATACGGTTCAGTCAGTCATTTTAGTATCAGATGTGTTTAAGAGGAATTTTTTGCACCATTACATCTGCAAAGAGGTTTCCTAGTCTACAATTGCGTTGGGGGCCTACCATATGTCAGTGATGGAGCCCCTAAGAGGTTGTGGGCCCGTAAGAAAATGCTGTCTCTGCTTACTGATATTTACGCCATTGAAACACAGGATGTAATCAGAAGTATTAAACCATCTACCAAAAATAGCCACATTGACAGAAAATCACTAGATTTTCTGCAGTCTTTTAGATAAGTTGACTAAGGTAGGATTTAAAAAAAAAGCCTATCTTTCCGTAAAATTTTCTTCATTTACCTTTTTGTAGTTCTACTACATATAGTGTAAAAATGTTATTTTATATTTTAACATTTTCATAAATGTAGTGTAAATTAGACTAACTAAATTAAAGGAGGAAAACATCCAGTAGAACTTTTTTGTATATCCCTACCTTGCAGCCACAACATTTCTGATTCGCTGACGCTGAATTCCCTCTTTTATTTCCTCTTTGGATGGGATTTCCAAACAAGGTGCAGGATTTTTAGAATGAGCAATTTGATCGGCTATCTCAATACATTTCTCTGACACCTAAAGAAGAAAGTAACGAAAGAGACACATTTAATAAACCATAGGCAAAGTATGCCTGTTTTTATTTTTGTTGAATTTGTGGCTCACAGTAAAGTAGATCCCGATGGTGTCTTGTAGGCGGTTAATTCTGTCAATAATGTCGTCAAACAATCGACCGATGGATGGCTTCTCCAGGGTCTCTGAGTGTGATAATCCGCATCGAACCAGAGTGGGCCACACCTCTCCAATACAGTCCCAGTCCCGAGTGGTGGATGGACAGAAACCAGCTGGAGATCCCAAGAGACAGTACAGAGCACCCTGGAGGAAGAACAAGAAGAGTAACCTGCAGACAAATTCATACAAAACCATATAAAATATTTTAAAGCTGCAATAAGGTGTTATGTAAACAATGTAATAAAACAGACCCCTTATCACCACAGAAATTGGCCTTTTTATCTACAGAAATAAACGCTAGCATCTCAATGTCGGGAAATGTCATATCAGTTTCTGTATTCCTTTTTAGAACTAAGCAGTGTCTCCAGTCTAATGGCATGTTTCATGCAATATCCACACTTGCAGAACCCTTAAAGCTAAATTCTATCCTACATCTAATTGACAGATTTAGTTGCAATTTCTGTAATACAACAATGATAGCGCTTTTCAAAATTTTTATTGAAAGAAAAAGCTTGTGTACATTGATTTTATTTTTTGATACTTATTGTAATGTAGGGGGTTTATCCAAAAATGTTTGTATAAAACAATCATAGTACACAAAAAAAAAAAAAACAACAAGACAGATTATACTTCCTTCACAGAAAATAACCAACCTAATTTGGAAGAAGACAAGGAAATGTGTTTTCCCTGTTTCTTTCTAAATACTTAGAGAGAACGCTAGTCAATTAGTTGCTTATCTAAAACACTACACACCAAACTAATGCAGGAAGGGCCCATTACTATTTCATCCTAGTAGAAGAACGGCCTATTAGGGTACAGTACTCTACAGAGTGAGTGGTGGGACAGCAACAGTTGAAAAACAACATGGCAATAAAAGAAAACCCCAGTGGTCATCTAGAATATGGTTATGGAAAGTTATAAGTCTAATTATTTTTATGTCCGTAACAGAAACTAAAGTTTTAAAAACATACACAACTAGGCACCACTGGGGCTTTAAAACGCATCAACAGGTTCTCCAGAGGTGCCACCTAGTGCTCAAAGAGTGGCAAACCAGGTGAGTAGGTGTCAATGACTTTACAGTATAGTTAATTTATTTTTCATCAAGACCAAATTAGTTATGTTATTTTACTTGCAAAACTGTATTTTAGTCAAAATTGTTGTTTAAAAGATTATATCATTTGTTTGCATCCATTTTAATGGATATTTACCAGTACATGGACATTGCTGGTGAATATCCATAAACTGCTAAGAGTTCCCTCTCAAGTAATGTCTGTTATTATTGCGTCCCTGTTTTTTCAGCTTCACCTAAGGTGAGGTATATGTAATGGATGGTAACATAAGACCTACCATTAAACTCTTATTTCATTGTATCTGCACTGTGTACTTTTAGTGCCTAATAGAGTACAGACACCATTCTGGAGTCTTGGCGTTTAATTCATGGTTTGAAATTTTTATTTCCTAAATGTCATAATCTTTTCCAGAATGTCTGGCTACTACATTCACTTTTTATTTAAAGCCTAGATAGACTTAGTAAAATGTGCTGCCATGATAAAAAAAAAAATAAATAAAAATAAAAAAACAGAAAATCTTTGTGCCAAACAAACAGAACAATTATATTAGGATGAAAAGAAAAATGACTTGGTTTGTGGAATCTCTATGAGGATATATTCTAGTAGGATAAACCACACTTCAGAAACTACAGGGACAAAGAAAGAAGATAAATTCCTAATAAGAAATCCCTCTGAACTTCCTCTTTTTCTATTAAACAAGCTAGCAGTGAATAATTACCACCTGCAGGGCTGCTGTGTAAACACCTGACAAAAACACAGTGAGGTAGTAGACACCAAAAGTGCAGTAGTGTGAATTTTAGTGCATGTGTGTCTTAGCCCTCTGTTTTACTCTAGCATGGGGATGTCCAGCAAAAACAGGTGAGCAGAAAAAGACAGCTTTGCCATTAGTTATTAACATGCAAATTCATGGCAGACCTAAAGAATTACCAACCCAGTGACACTACTAAAGGCATTATTAAAGTCAGGGCACAGCTTTAAATGTTTTTAGAATTCAGCACCACGGAGAGAGACGACTCCGATGGGTCACATGCCCAACGTCTGTGTGTTCATGGTACCTTGAACTGCTGCTCTGTGCCTGCGGTATTCTGTGGAGACAGCAGTTGTAACATACGGGGAATCATGTCTCTATAGGAGAAGCTATAGGTTCCAATCGCTGCCATCAGCACACACTGCGCCCTGCTACGTACCTGCAGGAATATTTGCATTTCCACAGTTAGCTCCTATTTTATCCCAGCTTCCATGTAAAAACTGAAACCAGACGACTTTTTTTTTACCTGGCTGTACGTGCTGGTAGAAAGCAGCAGCAGATCACAGAGCAGCTCCTGATGAACCACTTTGTATTCACTACCCTCAACCACCAGTTTTCTCATCTGCTCATAAAGAAAAAAAAAGGATAAAAGAATTGAATTGTTACTACAAATAAATTCAGAAGATATATTTTTGGTCACGTGTGGGTTTCTTGGTAGGTGCTTTTAAGTGAACCTCATGCTGGAGTAAAACCCGGTCGATAAGTAGTGCTCTGATGTGCTGCTTTTTCCCAAGAAGCTGCAGAACAAAAATGATAATGGCTTTAAATCATCCTGTAAGTTACTTATTTTAAACTGACCACTAAAAAATAGAATTAGAGCCATCATTGTTCCAGCTCACCCTGTTTTCCATTGACTTCTTGACAAGTGTGAAGCTTTTCCAGCGTGAGTCAAAGTCTTTCTTGTGTGTGCCACAGAAAAACATAAGGTCACTGATTATCTGCAAACGAAATGGGGAACAGTGAGGCCTATGCATGTCTTAATTGCAATGTTAAGTTCAACTTATGCATCTGAATCAAAACTGAGTTATATGATGCTAAAGATCACCTGAAAAGTACCTTTGATGAGATATGTTCTTATAATTTAAAAGTTTTGGAATTTTTATGCAAATTTAGGATGGCAAATGATGTGTTAAGCTGACAGGCTCCCATAAGAGAATGCCTTATGTTGAAACTGAATCAAAGAGTGTCTTAAATAAAAAATAGCTAAATATTAGTTTAAGGCTGTGTAAACGTACAGAACAGTTTTTCTGCAGATTTTAAATGCTTAATCTTTTTTTCCTTAAACTTCCAAGATGTGTCGCATTAAACAGTCTCAGGTTTTATATTGGAAAAACCTCTAATTTTAACAGCCGTTTGACATCCCTCTAAAGTGATTGTGACAGCAACAAGGACAGGATCAGGCACCTTAATGATGACAAAGAGGGATTTTGTATCATCCTCTGAGTACTCCAGGATGTGATCTGGATTAAAGAAAGTAGATAAGAGTTCGCACTGCAGTAAGAAACAGGAGGGTTTTTAAGTGAAAATCTACACTCACGAAGCAGCAATCTCATGGTCTGGCAGATGGACACTCTGTAGTTTTCCCATGAATCATCTGAAGGGGGGAGAAGACACAGATGTATAGATGCAGAATGCAGAATGAGCTGCCCTTATCGCCCACTGACACTGATGGTGCTTTTGATCGTGCTCTATGTGGCTGTTTTCTTACCGTACTCTACTCCTACGTGCAGCTTGATCTCCCCCAGGTTCACCATGGAGGGCACCCTGAGAAAAGGCCAATCGTGAGACAAGCCAGCAGATAAATATGTGTTTCCGTATTATTAGTGTGCACAGCTGCAGCCTCACAGGTCAGGGACGTGCACTCCATCCAATGGGGGCAGCATGCTCCCAGCCCCGAGAAGGCAGTGCTGCACGATGGCGAGGCTCTGCCACAACTCCTCCCTGTAATAGAAACACTAGATCTCAATCTTTCCACTGCAGTATGTGATTGGCAAAACTACAATATCTTTTCAACATTTTGGGCTGCTTAATTCATCATTACTTGCTGAGTTTTCTTGATGAAGGAGTCAGGACGGATGGTTAAAACATACATATAGTATCTTTTGGTGTGGGAAAAAACTCATCCATCAAAGGGCCACAGTTCTGTTTATTTTGCTTGTATGTGAGTAGGTGCTGGATTTTGCCTATGGAGCTGAAAGTTAAACTAAAGACTGCACACCTGGTCATTGGCTGATCTCCAGACACGTGGCCTTTGATTCGATGCAGCTGGGGAAGCAAGAGCGACGACAACAGCTGGCAAACAAAGTTTTTCTCCTCCTGGCACGGAACATGCCAACACACACCCAAAGCTGCCACATCTCCAGCTCGGCCCCAATCCTGCAGGAAGAGACCCAGTGAACTATACAGATTCTGTGCCACTTTTTCTTTCCACTGGAACAACTGGCAGGCAAACCAGCACAACCAGTTAACCTCAAAACCACAGACATGGTACATCTACTGAGGATTTAAATGTTTTAAACAGATGAAATGGAAAAGAACACCTCTAATAGACGAAGAAAACAACACCAAAAATCGAATTGGCGACGCTTTTAGGAATTAAAAAACTAAATTAAGAATAGGATTAAATCGAATTGAAAAAGGTATTAGATGCATTAGATGAATCATAGATACGTAACGGGCAGTTAGAGAAACAGTTACTATTTCTGCACAAATACAACAAAAATATTTGCACATTTATTAAGAACCAGGGATAAAAATCATTGGAAGAGAAGAAAATTGAGATCAACTTAAGTTCTGTCACAAACCGATCAACTATTTTCACTGTTCCTTTATGTTCATATTGGTTCATTAATATGTTCCTGCATACCATTACTTTAATTTAAGTCTAATGCTCCTCTTTCTTTTTTTAATAAAATAAATAACTAATGTTGAGTTCAGTCGGGGGAAACATTTCAGCTTTTGCTCTTGTAAAAAAACGAATGATGTCCTACTAAACGCTATTTTCCAAAAAAGAAAAAAAAAGCAGAAAGAATAAAACTGCATCTCGAACAGAGGAGAAAATAGATGCAAAAACACCATAATTCCTTATGTGTAAAGAGTTTCTGAGAAACTGAGGGGGATTTTCGTAAAACCCAAAATTTCGTATTGAAACGTTTAAAAAAAAAAAAAAAACCACTGGAGTTTGTTTTCTTTGTTTGAAGATGTTTCGTTTCCTGTCCAGGAAACTTTTTCAATTCTAAATGTCTGGATTACCATTGAGTTCAAAGCTTAAAAAAATAACTTTAGGAGAAGAAAAAAAAAGGGATATAGTAAAATATTGATCCTCTTTGATTCTTACAAGAAAAATAAAATAACGAGGGGCAAACAGAGCAGGTAAAAGCAGGTGTCTCTCTCACCTCTGTATGAAAAAGGAAAGAAAAACTTCCCAAATCTATCATCATATAGGCATATGAACATTCTCTATATGGTCTGGTTTGAAATGCAGCACAGACTCTTTTTTTTTTATTTTTATGACTTTCTATAATCTGTCCAAGTCAAATGTAGGAGATTGTTTTAATCTATGTATAGCACAGAGACAGACGTGAAAAAAAATGTGTGCAGATCTGCCCACCCTGCCTATAGTCAGAGCCTCCATATACGCAGTCAGTTTGACATGGAAAAAATCGCATCGGAGATTAAAAAAGTTTTACGCAACAGGTATGTTCTGGCTTTCACTCTAGTGTGAGCTGACAAAGACTCCTGCCGGTGTGGAAATGTTTTCAGAAAAGCTGAGCTAAAGTCTGACTGCCTCTTACCTATGCTTGTTTTGAGGTTGCCATGACTTGACTGAGAATTTGCAATGATATGTCATGTTTCTTATATTGAAGTTGTTAAAGAGAAATCAGAATAAACATAATCTCTTTAGCACAAAGCTGTACAAAACAAAAAACAAAGATCAAAAACCGGGCAAAAACATATAATTGCATCATCTCTCACAATATTTAAAAAAATGCTCTGTAGTTATACTGTAAATAAGTTATCTTAAAGTCTCTTTAGGTTTGCCATCTTTTTTCTTTTGATGCCTTCAGCTTTCTGTAACTCCTTTATGTTTTTCAACCCTCGTAACAATGGTTCAATGGTTCTTCAGGGATTCTGAAAGTCTTTCAAATTATTTACTGTGGAATTCGGCTGTTTTTTTACCTATTTACTACCCATTGTGTCAGACAATAACAGCATATTGTGCTGAGTAGGTTATCAAAAGAAACAAATCAATATAAGAAATAAACAGATGTCTCAAGCTTTAAAACGGTGAGAATTTATTGTCCTTCTGTAGCAACAACAAAAAACACATAAAAGATCTAATAAATGTCAAGTAACTCAAAGCTTTTTTGAAAATCACTTTGCTCTTACTGAAGTGCTACAGTATTTCATGTGAGTCATTTTGTATGATCTATGTTTTTCTTTTATATATGTGACAGGCTGCTAGAAAACTGCCTAAAGATTCTATTTAAATTTTTTTCTATGTGGGAGCAGATTCGTAACCTTAATCTGCAAGCCTTTCTAAGCCTTAATAGCTCACGAGTCAGAGTTTAAGTGGTGAAAATAAAACATTCCTCTCAAAGAAGTCAACCTGATACAAGGATAAAAAATCATAGAGCTTGATAAGACACTTATCAAAATAATTTCAAATAGAACAAGAAGGTTGTGTTATTTAAAAGCTAAGTCTAAAGATCATGTTAACGTATCATTATGTTTTCCCATTGTTTTGATGTTTGATTTACTAATCTTTAAATTTCCAAAGTACTTAAATCAATCAACAATCCATCTATGATTCCAGCTTCAGTATTTTAATGACCCAATTTCAGCCAAGAATATTTGGAAGAAAATTCTATTTAATAGCCGTTTAGTCTCTAAAGGATGTATTTGTCTTTAGTTTTTACTATTAGATAATGATGGTTGTCATAGTGTTGTTCTTTTTCTGTGATTTGCAAAAGTTTGAGTGTGTTTTTACCCGAATGGGGAGGTCGGTATTAAAGCCCCTAGAGGTACTGCGGTACTCGGTGGGATAGATGAGAGACAGTGACCGGAGTGTGTGCTCCAACAGGCTGCAAGCAAGTGTGTAGGCCTGCTTACAGCGAAGCCTCAAACACACATGCAGGATGCGCTCCAGCTCCCCCTGGTATTTAAGCAGCTGTTCACCATCCACACGGATTACCTAAACACAGCACAGACGCACGCACACATAGGAGAGAACATTCAATTCATTGGAGAGATGCGCCTTAAATTTTGAATATCTCCGGTAAATCACTGCGTCTGGCTTGCTCAGCCTCGCGTTTTGCTCCAAGGAGTAATAAAAAATACTTGAAAGAGTGTCAATATGTTCTGGTTAACGACAAAGCGCTCTGATATTTATGACCTTGAACAGTGCACACAGTAAGAAATGTCTTTTGGCAAGTCATTTTCCTTTTATAATATCCTTTCTATAATCCTAAAATGACTGTTCAACTCTTTTTCTCAGAAAAAAAAATGTTAAAATGGTGCCAAGCATCTGTTTTCTTGTTATTTTGAGAATGAATACAAATTCCTAGGATAGAGAGACAATAGGTAAATGTGCTTAAACTGCTTTAATAGAGTCCTCTCACCTCAGAGAGCAGCTGGAGTTTCCACAGAAGCTCCTTGTCCAGCTCATCTTCGTTCCGCAACTCCACATCTACACTCACACAGATTAAAGCACAAAGTGATTTTTTCATTTCCCTCAAATATTTAATTCTTCATGCAAATATTGGCATAATCCTGGGTGTCATTTCTTTTGGATCAGTTAAGTATTTTATCCTTTCATTAAAAATTGGTTTTACATTTACTAATCAAATTACAATTAATTATCGGTTGTAGCAGACTTTAAAACCCTTGAACTGCCTGGTCAACCAAATGAATGATCATTTGCATAGGAAAATGCAGGCTGGAGTTGGCCAAGGCAGATAAAAGGTTAAAAGGACACTAAAACTATTATGTCAAATTTGTTTTTTCATTGGTAGATATGTAAATGTATCTGTTACTAAATTTGCTAAATTATTATTATATACTATTATAAACTATTATTATTGTTTTTTGGATTAATCAAGGTTGGCATGCATGCATACCAATTTAAGCTCCTTTGCTAATCTTCATTCAAAATTATGGGCTTAAATTTTTTTAATTAAGAATGAACCCTCACTGTCCTATCATCATTTTTATAGGTTTCATTTTCTAGATCAGGGGTCTTCAATGTTTTCCAGGCCAAGGAACCCCAAACAACGGTGAGATGTAGCAGTGACCCCCTAATTATATATAGATTGTATAAAATTGTGTTATATCAAACTGGTTCTATATCAATCTATTGCACATGAAGTCATGTAATGAAAGTAATTTCTCCCTTGGATTATTAAAGTATTTCTGATTCTGATTCCTCATTATTGGAACAGGTGTTGTGAATGAAAAGGTGCCCAGCTTGAAAGAGCTCCTGTACGTCACTGAATGTGTGCATTGATGACTAAAAGACATCTTCTGCCTCCATTGATCTGTTTACTACAGTGTCTTGCATTCATGTTAATGTGTATTTAATAACGTTTCAACTAGTGGAAAAAATTGCAGGGGGGAATATAAAAATAAAAACAATCTCATTAACCAAAACTTTCACAACCCTCATGCAGTACCTCTGTGGACCCCATAGGGGGCGCGGACCCCCTGTTGAAGACATCCTTTCTAAATTTTTAATTTTGTCAAACTTCTCTTAGATTTTCACAGCTTTAAATCTAATGTAGTTGATTGGCTCATGGTTTGAAGCATATAGACAAGGAGCCCTCTGTGTTTAAAGAGTCTGAATTATTGAGGCTAGCACGGGAAGATCTTTGCTTTTTTTATTAAACAAATCTGGAGAAAAAAAAGGTTATGAATTGTGTCGCTGAAAACACTATTTAAAAATGACACCAGCTAAAATCTCCTTTGAAAAAAAAATATTATACTATAAAAAATATTGATTTATATAAAGCTTCTACATAAACACTATAAAATAACTTTTTTTCTTTTTCAAATTTCCACTTCTGAAATAATTTATTTTTTTATTTCTATAATGCTGCAATAATATCCTCTCTACAGAACCAGTTAGGTTAATTTGCATGCTTTAGGTTACAGAAAACTATAAAAACACAGGAAGAAGTATATGCTAATGTTTGGGTACTTTTTTGGTTAGTTGGATTTCAAGGTTATTTTAGATCTTAATTAAAACTAAAATATTGCACCTAAAAAAAAAGGCAGCCAAACCATTTTAGATAACCAATTAATCATTTTAAGGTATGGGGAAAGAAAAAAGAGAAACTTGAAAACATAGACTTGGATTTTTAATCAACTACAGGCTTTGATTGCTTCCTTTAGTCTGAAAAGCTACATTGAAAATGTTTTTGTGAAAACTGTCAGTTAGACTGGCCCATGATTAAAACAGCTTTGACATAAAAAGTGATGAAGAATTTTCCTAATGGATGCCAATACCTATAAACTACGGTAAGACGTTCAGATTTGCAAAATGAGAATGGCTTTAATTAGAAATTCTTTAATAAAAAGCACAGCTGATTACGGTACTTACTGTATGTGCATGGAAATAACTTATGCTGTTTTGGTTTATAGATGGTGTACTTTGCCGGCCAAGTCAACCAAGAGTTTATAGGTCTTAAAATGTGTTTACTTTGCAGACCAATTTATAGTATTAGCTGCTAAAAACTCAAATGATGGCTTATTTGATCTTATATGGGCCATAAATTTTAATGTGGAGCAGCCTTAATGCCTTTTTTCAGCTTTGATGTATAATTGAAGAAACTCTACTATAAACCCATTCATACTGTAGCTCAACGAAGCCCTTAGATAGTGTTCATGTATGCCGCATCACATCCTCTTTACGCACAGATCTATTCTACACACTGTGGTACTGACTGTCAGTAATGAGGGAAATGATGGTGCAGCAGTGAGGGACAAACAGACGGAGAGACTCAGCAGGGTGACACTGCAAACAGAAAAACATGCAAAAAGCATCCAGATATACAAAATGATACATATTTAGAGACATTCATGCAGAGACAATGAATGTGAACTGGGCAACATTAGGAAATTAGGACTAAAGCAATGTGCATTAGATTTATGAATAAAAAAAGGATGAGGGATATATTACCTTTGCTGCAGCCCGGCACATGTCAGCCACCATCCTGCCAGACACACACGTCTCAAAGATGTTGGAGGTGGCAAAGTTATACAGCTTCTGCAAAGCAACCTGATCAAACGACATTTTAATGAAATATCAGATAACTTGTAAACACTGTGAGCACACACTCATTTTTTCTCCCAATTTTTTTTCGTGCAGGCAATTAGTTTTCACTGCATTATTAATACAAAAAGGTTAAACTTTCCATAATTTTTTTCTCTCTCATTCAATTTTTTTGTGGACTCTGAAGTTCTTATTTTCAATAATTTCTATTTTAGATTTAATTTATCTTACAAATTTGTAAGATTTAATCCAACAGGCTACACTTTATAATTCTCTCCAGACTGTTTGTCATAAAAAAGAAAATATTACCATCACGCTAAGACTACTTATGCCTCGTTCAGCATAGCTAATTAGATTTAGTCATACTGAACAGTAACTTTAAGTACATATGACATATATTACGATTAGCCTCTTACTGTATACAGTCTTCTATTGCAGGCCTCCCACACTTCTTTAGACTGTTACCCCAAAAATAAAAATGCAACACAGTGACAACCCCCTTAAGAGACATATAATTGCTTCCCACTATGGTCATTTCTGTATATAAAATGAAGTATATGTTCTTATTTCAAATAAAATATATATTTAAAAGTCCTAAATTTATCATTTAAAGGCATTTTTTAATTATTAGATGGGCATTTATTTATTTAGTTGTATACTTTTCAATTTACTGGTATATTTAATTTTGAATAAATGGAATGGAATAAATACATTAATGTAACATCTGCATATTTTATGGTATCTTTGTTTTTTTAATGCGCCCTTCTGGGATTGCCTTCTAATGATAGTTAAAACCATCTCTACTTTGGGAGCCCTTGTTCTAATGCTTGAAGGAGATGTAAGTCCTGAGAATACCAGGAGTCATACTTCCGAATGCAGTGGTGTCAAAAGTACACAATTTTTTTTTTACTTAAGTAGGAGTATAGATACTGCAGTTTAAGAACACTCTGGTAAAAGTTAAAGTATCAACTTGACCTCTTTACTCAAGTAAAAGGGAAAAAGTATGCGCTCCAAAAGCTATTTAGAGTATAAAAGTATAAAGTAACCTTTAAAAAAAACAGCCAGATGTCACTATATGAATTAAATGTTCAGTTTAAGGCCAAGGATGAGGGAGGTCTTGTTGGCCTGCGTCTCCATCTCCCAATACGGTCTCGTCTTTGTCCGACCTTTCAGACATTTTAACATCTTTTTCTGAATCCAATATTGTAGTATGGCATAGACAAGAACATAGACAAGAACACCTGCTTGCCTCTGATGATTTCCTTTAGCTAACCAATTAGTGTTTGTGTTATATGACTCATCAAATTACACTAGTTTTCATTGGATGTGGATGGTGCCAATGATCTACATTGGATGGCGCACATGACGTGAAATTAATATTTTTAAACGTTAAACGGAAGTGAGGAGTAATGAATAATGTTTGTTTTAAAAATGTAACTAATAGAAAATACGGATACTTGTGTGAAAATGTAATGAGTAGAAGTCAGAAGTAGGAAGAAAAATAAGTAATGGAGTAAAGTATAGATACCTAGAAAGTGTACTTAAGTACAGTAATTAAGTATTTGTACTTCGTTACTTGACACCTCTGTCCCAATGTTACCAATATGTCTGCACCTAGTCCTATCAAATCTGTCTGCACTCAGTTGAATTAATATAACGAAAACAAAACTCAAGAAAGGATTACTTATTTTTTTTTTATATTAGTCTAATTAAAAGATGTCAGCGCAAACATGATTATATTGCAAATATAGTCATATAATATGCATAAATAAACATATTATGTCAAAAATACAACTGAGTGCACTCATTTTTATGGCTGTTGAGAAAAAAAATGCTAAGTATTATGATAATGTTGTATGCCATGGTCCAACACATTAAATTTAACCATTTTTAAAACAATTTTTCTTTAGTTTTTTCTCTGTTCTTTTTTTTTCTTAACTTTTGAATTGAAATAATTACTTTGCTTTTGCTGATATTGCTTTTACACTTGACAGATTTTAGTTTCTTCAGTTGGCTCTCAAATCAATAGTAGTCCATCTGGACTTACTTAGATTGGCTCTATTTTTCAGAATCTTTAATCTACATGAATATTCCCACTAGCAGATTTTGGTTTTGCTTTTTTATTTTTAATGTGAAGAGCACAATATTTTTTACTTCAATATTTTCTTCTATAATAATAGGATTAAGTTTTGAAACCAAAAAGTTTGTTGGTTTTTTTCTTTTTTTTCCCTCACAAATCCTGACTTAGACCTAAACCTTTTATATGAGAAGTTTATTCTGGACAACTTTCTTAGCCTGCAACCCTCCGAAAATGTTTTGCAACTTAATGTAAAATATTTATATATATATATATATATATATATAAAAACCTGAGAGAAAGCGGCCTTTATGGTACCTCTCACAATGGGGCATTTTCCGGAATATTTACAAATATTTACCATCAACATCACATGCTAGCTATTTAATATGTTAATAGGTAATGAATTTCAACTTTTCACAAATCAAGCAAAAACCTTTCAGAGAATATAACGGAGAACAAATGTTAATAAAATATCCCACCACTCACTGCAAGAAGTTTGCTTTCAAGAATCTGAAACTAAAAACAGACCTTTTAAAGGTCACAGCACACTGAAGGGTTGTTATCATTGAGAAATGTGTGTATCAGTGTAATTCTGCACTACCTTATAGATTTCTATGGAGCACTGTGTTAGGATCGTACTAACGGTGGAGGACAGTCCCAGCTCCACCAGGCTCTCCAGATGAGTCTGGGTATCCGTCTCTGTCTCATCTCTCGTCTGCTCAAGAGTGCTGCTGTCTATCAAAGCAAAACATCTGCACGAGCACACGCACACACGCACAAAAACACACACCTAAAACACTTGTCTGTGATGAAAATGTCAACAACGATATGATTAAAAAGCACACACACGTACAAAAAAAAAAGTCTTTTCACTTCAGAAGCTGGAAGTCTAGTGCATTTCAAACAGAGAGACACATTCGTATTCAGAGTATGACAACAAAGCTCCACAGAGTGACAGGCCGACTTGCTAATTTATCTTTACCTGTCCAGGAACTGCAGCACGAAGTCTTCAAAGCCAGCTGAGGCAAAGCAAAGATCTTTTTCAATCTGCAGGGGAAAAATGTAGGTAATGTGTTTCTATAATATGTCTATGATTTGTTTTTATGACTTAATCCCCCAACAAAAAAAGAGTGACTATGGAAATACATTTTATGTATGTGAAACTCAAGGTATTTTTTTTCTATTTGCCTGGTATCTTTAGGGTATCTTTATGAGTACAAGAACATATCTGGGATAAGAAGAGATTGAAATTGAGTTTTTACTGCTGGGTTGCCAGGATTTCTAGTTAAGATTGGGCGAAGGCTTCAGAAAGGCTCAAAGAGGCCCACTGCCCATCTATGTGAGTCCTGTCAATCCTACCCCTCCCCTGGATGCCATCTCAGAGGAGACACAATACGAGACCATGCACAGTCTGGAGGGATTAAACATCCCCGTCAAACGCAGCAGCTATCCTCTCTTAAATATGAAGATAAGTAGATTAACACAGACGGTGGAAGGATGCACAAAATGCCACTCTGTGTCCCCCATACTAGAAAAAACATGATGAAAGTAGTGTTTTTAAGATTTGGCTTTCGTGCCAACTGAAAAAAACAACAATAAATAAGCAGGTGATTATCGCTGTTTTAAGTTGAATTCTTATTATTAGTTATTTTCTGATGCATTTATACAGATAAGCTATTTTGGGGCTTTATGCTAAGCTGTGCTGACATCTGATCATTTATGGTGGGAACATTAAAGTAATTGGAGTTTTTCTTTTAACTGTCAGAAAGACAAGAAACAAGATGAAATGGTGGGAGCTTCTGAAGCATCTCTTTGTAAAACTGACTTGAACCTATTCTGACCAAACGCTTAGAAATGTGCATGAATAATAAACAAAGCAAATAATATGATCTGAAGGGATTATTTGTACAAGTTCTGAAAAACAAGATCATTCAAATTATTAACGGGAGGCTTTCAGATGGTAAATAAATGCCAGTCAGGGTTATTAGTGTGTGGTCTTCAGGTAGAACTTCATAACCTAATTCTTGTTAAATTACCCTGAAAAAGAAGCATGTCAGTCCTCTTTTCAATACTCACAGTCCTACAAGTCCAGATTATACATAATTAAAATAATAAAACAATTGTTAGATTATATTCAAATGATAGATTAATTTGATTAGGCTGCATGGTGGGGTAGTGGGGGTGCTGTTGCATTGTAGCAAGAAGGTTATAGGTTTTGGTTCCCTGCATGGAGTTTGGATGTTCTCTCTGTGCATGCATGGGCTATCTCTGGGTACCTCAGCTTCCTCCCACAATCCAAAATCATGATTTTAGGATAATTGGCTTCTCTAAATTGTACTTAGCTGTGTTACCCTCATTTACTGAATAACGATAAAATATCTCTTATTACTGCTGGCTAGCTCTTTGCATGTTTGTAATGGCAGCCTTGTCACTTTGCTCTCTTGTGCTTTGTTTTACAGCCATCTATGGGACTTACTGGAAGGGGAAAAAATGTGAAGCTTTGGCAGCAGGAACTGCATGCACCACTGCCCTCAACCCACCTGGCTAATGCCCCATCTGTGACTAACAAAATGGATAACTTCTGCTTTGATACTCCTAAAAACTCTGACTTTCTTAAATCCACTGGTGTCTGTTTCAGTCGGATATTGCCTCGGCGAGCAAGTGAAATGGCATGGAACAGATTGAGTGAGGGGATCTGTGCAGTTAAGAAAAGGACTCTGCATCAGACTGTATAGATCTGAAAAACAAAATTAACTGCAGGAGCCAATCCCAAAACCAAAGGAGAATCCTCACGTGGCAGACAACCTTGAAAGTACCTACCAAAAGTAGTAAACTTCCCTAAAACTCACTCTGACCGAAAAGGTCCCCATGCACCAGCCAGGTTCCCCTCCTAAGACCCTCTCCCTGGACTTAAGATATTAGAGTAAGATATAAGTAAGGTTTTCCAGCATCAAAAGACTAAGCTCCAGGACCAGACAATGTTTTCCCATATGCCGACACTATGCTGCTATTCTCATATCTACAACAAGTCACCAGAGCTGCCATTACCAAACCACCATTAACCTGGTCTTATTATCATAGGGAAAAAAATTAAAAAAATACCTGTTGCCCTGACATTTGTGGTCATAAAATCTTTTCACCTTTTGATGTGAAAGAATACAAATTATATTAAAGGCCTCCTTATGGACCCGCTGCATTTTTCTTACCAGACAAACAAGACACCAGAACATGACGTCAACTTAGGTCTATGTGGGGTAATAAAAGAAATACTGCTGGGAGAATTAGATCCAATAAAAAAAAGACATTCATGTCCATGATGTATGTGTTCTTTTTCAATGGATGCTGGAAAGCATTTACAGGGTTAGCCATAGTTTAATTCTTTACCATTTAAATACACAGTGTATCGAATATCCAAAGCCAGTATGGTTGCTCTCTTGTTTTGTTTTTTTTGTTTGGTTTTTCTGTCTCCAGTACTCCAGAAAAAGAAATATTTAAAATACGTCCCGGTTTTACCTCTGTTAGATCTGTTTGTCGAGCTGGAGTAGAAGAGCAGTCCACTAAAGGCACCAGGGTGGTGAAGGTGGTGATGAACTGGAATGTTATCTGGAAGAAGATCACAAAAAATCAATTAACAACTTTTGAAATGATCAGAGAATGCGTTAAATAATGTGCCAGATACGATTTTTCAAATCTTTTTATTCGTTCTGCTGCTGTGATTAATACAGCGTGGAGAAATAAGCGCACCAGACGAGGGAAGCAATCCATTTTACTATTTGAGCAGACAACCAAGACACATTAATTACAACTTCTTCCAACTGAGGTATTCTTTCACTTTCGGGACTAATTAATAAGACAGACCTGAGTGTATAAGAAGGAAACTCAATCAGCAAGTGGTCTATTGTCATCCTGTCTCATAATTTTTCTTCATTACTTATTGGCACATTCATTACTCACCATACACTTGCTGAAGTCGTTGGGGTCCACCCCCGGGAGAGAGCCCATGAGCAGAGGAAGCACATGACTGTGGCCCTCTGGATAGCGGTTGTCAGGGGAAACAAGGCTACGTGCCATCCCGATCATACAGCTGAGGGTGGCAGTAAGCGTATATGGCTCCGTCAAGGTCTCCATCGCTGCATAGGTCCTGTTAAACTCACATCATTTAGTGTCTGGCTTGGATTTAGAAATCAGAAAAAATTGTCTTTCTTCTGTCAAATCTCAAACAAACCTCCATGAATATATTCTAAAAAAAATAAAAGCGCATACAAGACTTACTTTTCAAGTACTGGTGGAATGACGAGTTCTGGTGTGAGGAGAGCCAAGTTCTGGAGAGCATAGGCTGCATCTGTGCTGCCAGTTTTACTGCATATCACCAGGAGAGGGCAGAGGAAAATAAAGTAGAGTTAAAGCCTGAACCACACGCACAAAGGGAGACAGATTATCACTGATGAGCTGTCCTTGTCCAGATTAGCCGTGTTGTGGCTGAGGCCAAGTGCATGCAATGACTCACTAATGAGACACAGTTCTCAGATGACTAGGTGCATGTTAACTGGTTATTTAGATTTTAGAAAATAACAAGCTCCATGACCAAGAATCATTTTAATCTTTAATTTTCACCTACTAATCAGCAAATAACAGTGAGAAGCATTTATTAAAAAAAAAAAAAAAACGGGGGACTATACTGTTTAGTGGAAAATAGCTGCAATCGAATCTCTAGAGAAAGTAGGTTGAAATATTTTAAACGAAATCTGATCCCCAAACAAAAGGGAGCCACTGACTCAAACATCTCAACCCACAGATACACCTATCTGTCTACTTGCATTTTCACATCAACTGTTCCTCCTAAATTTTGCTTATGTTGTTTAATTTTAGTTTAATGTTCAGAAGTTTGCATATACTCACAAATACCATGCATGACAACATTTAAATTAATGTGGAATTTTTCCTATAATCATGTTAAACCTTAAAAATAAGATAACTGTATATCTACACTACATTTGGAGCGTGCGGGTAGCAAGTAGAAAAAAACACACTGATTGTAGCTATCAACAAGGTTCTGGGATACAGTGGCTGTGGTTGGATATTTCACTACTATGGATATTTCATTTTTTCTCCTTTTTTTTCTGTTTTTCCTCTTCTGTTCTACTTGCATTGCAGTGTCCATATAATCTGTAAAACTCCCTGCATAATTATAATAAAGCAATTTATACGCATGAAACAACACTATGGCAATAGCCGTACTGCTCCACTTGTGAGCACATTTTTTGGCATCAAGACAATTATTCTTATTGCCACATAGCCAGAGAGGACACTGTTAAAAAAAAAAAAAAAGAAGAGATGGTAGATAAGATTTGTTTTGTTTTAAGCCTAGTCCTCTCCTTAATCATTCATTTTAAAACCAATTGTAATGCATTTTAGTTTCAACTGTCAAATTTTTCATTTTAAGATGAAGATTCAAGGGGTACTTTTTCAGTAGACCACTGAAACTGTGCATATGTACAAACATTGACAAAGGTTTGCAGGTCAGACTTTCTCAGTGTGACCAGCAAACCTTTCAAGAAGAAATTCACTAGGCACCTAATTGTGGATGAGATTAATGGGGTTGATTCTGAAGCAGGGGGCTTTTTTCTTGGCCAGCTCCTATTCTTATGTGATGGTGATGTAAACTTTGATTAACTGTGGGCAAAGACAAATTTGATCCAACAATTTCCAGTCTGGTGGGCCAAGACTCTCTCCTAATTATTCTTTCCTTTCATGCAAGTGTGATCATTTTGCACCGGAGTTTAAACTAAAACTAAGACTCTTGTTACTACATGACATTGATCATAACAACTCAGACTGATTCTGGAAAGAATAGATTAGGCAAAAACTTGGCTTCAGGATAAGTTCCAACATTAAACATGAGGAAAATATATGGATAATCAATATAAGAGGAGAATGTGGGAGGAATTGACACAAATTTAAACAGAAAGATGATCATTCAGCCCTGTGATACACTGGTGATCTGTCCATTGGTGCATCAATCTTCTTACTTAATCACTGTCAATGAAATTGCACACGCAGTTCTTCTGTGTAACCACACTGTACTAATAGTAAACTTTGGGGCATTTAAACATGTAGGGCAGGGATGGGTAACTCCAGCCTCAGGGGGCTGCTATCCTGCAACATTCGATTTGTCCTTGGTCCAACACACCTGAATCAAATGACTAAATTATCTCCTTAGTATGCATTCAATTTATCCACCGGTCTGTTAATTATCTAATTACCTGATTCAGGTGTGTTCAACCAAGGACACATCTAAAAGTTGCAGGTTAGCGGCCCCCGAGGACTACCTTTGCCCACCCATACCTTAGGGCCGCAAAGGCAGGAATCTAAGGTTCTTAAAAAGTGTTTACAGTAATACCCAGGTGAATTGAAAAAAATGCTTTAAGTCATTTTTACAGATATATTTCATACAACAAATAAATTTTAATCTCCATCCAAAAAATGTAACTTAACCATAAAGCTATTACAGTGATTTCAGTATTTCCATATTTAATAGAGAAAGATCGGCAAACTTAAACTTGAATGGATTTTGCTTCACAAAACTCACAAAGCTGTTTTTAAGATCCCATTATACAATCAACATGAAAAAACGTCTTTGTGTAATTAATTGGTTGTATAGTGGAATTTTACATTTTGAATTGGAATAACTGATATCCATAAACCTTCTAAAAATAGCGAGATGCAATAGCATGTGCAAAAAACACAATGAGTACCTAAACATGGCCAAGAGGGCTGCACCCATGAGGCTGTGGGTAAACTCTTGCAGGTCGGTATCCGTCAGTCTTTGACACTCCGGGACCACAGTGATCCAGCTGGGTGCAGCATAACGCTCTCGATGCACCCGCCGCACAACACTAGCTGGGAGTCTTTGCAGTAGCCTCATCAGCCGAGACTATAAAAAACAAACAAACAAAAACCCCTCAGTCCTGCATTAAACATTTCAAGTTTTACACTTTTTCATGCAAAAAATGGAAGGAAAAGTGTATGAGTAAGAGGAAAGAGTAGCTGACCTGCCAGCGACCGTGGTTGGAGGGGTGATAGAAGGAGGCAATGCTGCTAAAGAGGCAGGTCAATTCTTTCTGTGCAGGATTTCCTGGTCCGCCCTGCAGAAATGTACATTTTATAGCAATACTGCAGTTTAAGTTTAATACTTTGAGACCATTTAAAAAAAATGTTGATTAGTGTTTACCAGTAGGGCTGTGATCCATAAAACCAAGAATCCAATGTCATAGGAGTTGATAAGATACCTCGGTGCCACCATCTGACTAACCCCGACTGGAAGGTTTAAACTTCGCAGGATTCTGGTAAAGATCTACACACAAAACAACAGGGTTTAACATTCCACTCACAGAGGGCCCCTAATAAAACACATTAACGGGAGCACATGTATATGCGCTATACACATAATTCTGCTAATGACTCACTGTGGGAATATAAGGAGTCCAGTCCACGTAGCCGATGTTATCATTGGCAAGCCGAGCAAACAGGTTCACTAGGTGCTACGAGGCAACATCAGAAAAACAATCACTGCCGGGTCTATAGCAAAATTCTCAGAAGTGAGGTTTGCAATTTCGAGAATTAAATATAGCCCCTAAAAAATTGGAAAGATGTTCAAGAGGGGGGAGGACGTGCGCTGCTCAGCCAGGCCGCTGAGGGCCTGGAGGCTGGATAAAGGCAGAGTGGAGGCACAAATGGAAAATCTTATCTGCATGCTGAGTGGAAACCAGCAACAACACTTCAATCATCGCAATCAGGGGACGTTGAAGCTGTGTCATTCCAAATTACTTCATCCATCTTTGGTAAAATGGAGAATGGCGTGATTCCATATGAAATATACTTTAAATGTTCTCAAAAACCATCACAGATCTTTTTTTTTTTGTTGCATTCCTGATAAGCTTGCTCTGAAATCAAGAACTATATTATAAATCTAAGCTTTTTCATACTCCTTGCACGTTTTGTAAGATTACAAAAAACTCCTTTTTTTTTACTCACATTGAAGAAATTTACCTCTGCATTAAACCCATCCCCTTGGGGAGCAGTGGGCTGCCATTGTGGGGCGCCCAGGCAGCAATCAGGGGTTAAGGGTCTTGCTAAGACACCCAGAGTGGGAGTCTGTGGGTGTGGGTTTCGAACTCACAACCTCAAGATTCCAAGTTTAATGTCCTAACCACTAGGCCGCCACTCCCCCTACTCCCACTCCCCTCCCCTCAATGGAGCCCAGGTGGAAGTTCAACTGAAGAAACTAACTGCTCTTCTAAAACCACCTGCGGCACAGCCAATCAGCTTGAACCACACCTCCACGAAAGCCAATCAGCATCCAGAGTTCATCTTAAAAGGCCTCTGATCCGCAACTCGTCTGGTCCCAGTGCGCAGGCGGTGGATGCGCTGTGTGACTTCATTCAGATGATCCCGTTTCAACCCCCCTCCAGCCCCTCCTCCACCATCGCAGCTAAAGCTTCATCAGGGTTTCATTATTCCTGGACTCTTGCTGCATCCCACGTCTCATTTCAACCGGTCCGGCAGAAGACCGCCATGTTGCGCCTGGTTCTGGCAGAGGTTTCTTCCCAGCTGGGAGTTTTTCCTCTCCACTTTTGCTTCATGCTTGCTCATCATGGACAGGTTCTCTCAACCTGTGTTATCCAAACTAGACTTCCATCTTCCAGGTCCCTGAGTGAAGCTCTAGCATCAGCTCATTCAATCCACTGGATCTCCCAATAAAACTCAGCAGACTGTCTCACTAACCAGCAGTCTACAGACTGACCAACTTCATATATCTCCACTCCACCACCAGTTTCAGGCCAGCAATATTCTTTACTCCTGTTCATGCATATCTATCAAAGCGCTATGCGTCCTGCCAAGGTCTGAGTGCCAAAGACAAAGTAATTGTATTAATAATTTCTAATTGTCTTTTCTCTTCGTGTAATTTTTTCAGATTGAACTGTATTTACTTGAGACTCTGTGATAAAAACACAATCCACTATATTTTTGAGGGCATAAGGAAAGTTTTATTATTTACTTTGCAATATGGTACAGCTGAAATTTACTCTGATACCTTTAGATAAGACTCTGATATTCACAGATGCTCTCTGTTCATTAGTCCTGTCGCTTTACAATTTGGCACTTGTTTCTCTTAGTTCGTCGCTGAATAGATTTTGTTTTTCACAAAATAAGAGAAAAATTTAAAGGGTATTATTAAATTTGGAAAGCCCTGTTTGTGTTTAATTCATCCGAATCCACTTAAAAGTTCTTTGAGAATGTACTCACCCCTTCCCAGCTCGGCTGATTTTGCACAGACATCCAAAGATTCATTAATTCATCAAACCACAACCTAAAAAAAAAAAATAAAAATAAAAATTCAGATAAAACTTAATTAGCTACACCTGAGGCCGAATTTCCCCTAAACATGAACTCATTCTCTGCTCTATGTCTTCTGGAGAAGGACGAGAAACAATATGAAAATGGAAAAATAAGGAGTATTAAAGATGATGTATTGTGGAAACTGTGCAGAAACTGCTTATGGATCCAAGAGTAAATCCTGACAAATCGCTTACAAAAGACCATGGAATGCAGTGAGAAGCTGTGAAGAGGCTTGACAGCTGGAATACAACCACAACGAGAGCAGAATGAAGGATGTGAGCAGAGATTGGTTTCCATAAAAAGCAACATAGTAGCAAAAACAAAATGGCTTCAATTTAAAGGGCAAAGGTTTAAATCCTCCCAAATGCTGTTGCTAATGTGATTCATTTTATAATGATAATGCAAGCTTCATCTTTGATTCCAACTGTATTTTTCTTTTTACTTTCTGCAGCCAGATCTCGTTGTAGCCTTTCTCAGCCCTGCATGCTAACTCTGGCTCGGGACACACAGTCCTCAGCATGTGATGCTGTTTCCAAAGAGAACCATTCAGTCTGGAACAACTCACTGGAAGCCCTGGCTGTGTTCCTCTGGGGGCATGATGGTGGGTAGGAACAGCTCCATGTTACTGATTGCCTTCTGCATCACTACGTCAAACACACACAGCAGGGGGCGCCACTCATCCAGCATCTCTTTCGTTGAAGATGCTGGGAAATACCTTGAAGCAAAAAAATATATAAATAGTAATATCGAATATGTGGTTATTAATTAATAACAAGGAGACTCAGGTAAACACACAGATCAAACAAGTGGGCCATAAATAGATGTGAACGACAAAGCCACAAGTAAACACATTGAACTAGAGTACACAGCTCAAGTAAAGATCAAAGGAAAACAATCTTTGCTTCACAGATTATATGATCAGAGTGGATGAGACTTACAGTCTGCAGCTTTTGATCAAAGCCTTCAAAATGTGATCCACTGAGCTGCAAGCAAGCAAAAAGATGGATGAGCATGTTCTTTCTCTTATGTTAGACGTCAGAAATCCTTGTGCAAAAACTAAGGAATATACATCATTTAATCCTTGATTCAAGATCTGAATTTTTTCCTCGAACCTTGTGTGTGTTTTTTGTTTTTTTATTTTTTTCACATTTTGTAAATGGATTTAAAACAGTTATATCGGGATTGGGATACCAATCAAAAGAGTAGGTTATAACTGGGAAATTGAAGGAAAATATTAGATAGCCTCTAAATTCTTAACAAATAAACAGCTCCAGTCTTTTGGGATACTGTATGACTCCACCAGCTTTTGTGCATCTAAATTGGTGACTCTAAAAAGGAACTAAGTTTTATCTATTTTTAACCTAAATGAGGCAGAGAAATTATTGCAGAGATGGTGCTGAGGCTCAAGCCAGACAACAACAGCTAAATAAACAGAGAGGCCTTGAATCATGAACACACATAACACCAGTAGAGATACGTGTTACCACATGGGCTTTATCTTATGTAATACCAGGTGCCTAAAATTTAATCTATGTGTGTTGATGCAGCATTCTAATCAACCTGGTTACAGTCTGTTTGATTATTAAACCCAATTTTAGTAAAAATAACTGCCTCATTGTGTCTCTATGAGATGCACAGTATCTTTCACTCTAGCTGGTTTTCAACACACCTTAGCTCATTTAACCCTGCAACTTACATAAAAGACGATGATCTTTCTTATCTATATCCTAACAAAGGTAATGCAAAAGTATTCTGTTTCAGCTTTGTTGTGAAATTTGAGAAGAATATAAAAATTCGAACACAAGCCTATGTCAAAACATGATGGTATGATTGGGCAAAGCTATAAAAATAAAGATTACTCATATCTTTAATAAGGCTCTTATTTTCTTTTCTTTTGCCTTACAAATGAAGCCTGTAATAACAAAAGCATTTGGACATACAGTATGTTAGAGAGGAAAAAAACACATCAGTCATTTTGCCTTTTAAGATATTTTATATATAAAAATTTTAATGTCCTATATGATATGTTCTGATAAATTTAGGTATCACAGTCAAATCTCCATGATGACATAAGAAGTACTATTGCATGTCAATGTCTTGAGAAAGCTCAAGAACTAGAAACTGAAACCGCTACAAAATCATATCAAATCTGCTAACATAAGTGATGAGACTTGATGCTGTGATGGCCAGATGACTAACTGACTAAATTCTATATTTCATCCATTACTCATTTTAACAAATCAAAATGAATTTATCTGTGGCCGTCTTGCCCTTTTCCTTGTTTCAGGGTGTGACATTAAAACAACAGTCTACATTTTAAATGACATAGAATAACATAGTATTTGAATTTATCCACCCAGGTCAAATTTACTAATTTTAAGAGAAAGAAACTCAGAATAAACTTAGAATAACAGATTTTAGAAAGAGAATATTTTATCATGTAAAAAACCCTGACAGCGATTGGCTGTTTCTCACACTAATGCAGAGGCTTTAGAACACATTTTCATAAATTCATTAAAATAAACAGCTAAATAGCAGTTTCTCTTTTTTTAAGATTTAGTCTGTGGTTAATTATAAGTTAACTTTAAAAAAAGTCATATTACCATGCATATTCTAATATTGGATACAATGAATCAGAGTGAATAAAAATCTATTTTTTGTATTTCTGTATTTACCTGGAATAGTATTAAAAGAGAAAATGGCCCCTTGAAGACTGGTTAACCTTCACAAGAGTCACCGACCACCCAAAACAACTAGAATGAAAACTCATCCAGGAGGAATAACATCTTTAATTTAGAATTTATAATGTTTTATTTGAGCTATGTAGCCTGTAGTAATAATTATAGCCTTATAATCTCTTCTATTGTAAAAATTTTTTTTATCTTAAATTCAATTTTATTTGTCCAAGCTTCTATATTTATTTTATCTTTATACAGTAATTTCAGTCCAGTACCGTTTCTAAATTTTTTTTTTGTTTTTACATCACGTTGGCTTTTCTTTTATCTATATTCTGTCATATGGTCTGTCTGTCTTTCTTTAACCTCTGTAAAGCATCTATGTTACTTTAGTCAATGAATTGATCAAAATATTTCCTTTTTTGTTTTTAAATAATTAGATTTAAGACAAATTATACATTTTTTTAGATGAGCAGTGACTAACTGATGTGGTGCTTCTATTAACAGGTGAAGTTACATACTTTGGGAACCATATGAGACCCAGGTGCTCAGTCTTGGAGTAGATGATTCTCTCATAAAGCTCGTAGAGGGGTCTCCATGGCAGCTGAAGGTCATCTCTTGACAGCAGCTCCTTCTTCCTGTTTGGAAAAACCAAGTCAGACCTCAGAAGTTCAGTCTGTGTGCAAATGCTGGAAGGTTGTCAAACTTTTAAAGCTGTGAAAAGCCTCTTGTTTTTGAAAATGTTGTTTTGAGGTGAGACAGTACTGGGTATCCATCAGGGAAAATGAGTCATCCTTTCACAACACCATAACTGCCAACTTAGGAACATGTCCACAGACATGATTGATTGGTGATACTTTATAGTTATTAAAGCACAACTGGAGAAACAGCTGCAAGCTTTAGCAGCCTGCCTGTTAGTGGTTTCAGAGAAAAATGAAACATGTTTAAAACCTGAAGGCACAGTAGCAGCCATTCAAAATGGCCCTTCCCAGTCAAACACCAGCCGAATGGCAGCCCACTTCCCTACGACTCCCAGCGAAATCCCCTCCAACTTCCAGCCACAGGCCTTCTCCTCTGTGTGCATATTTTTTTACTCTGCCTCCACCCATTCACTGAATTGCTGGGTCTGACAAAGAGATTATGCTTTTCTTTAGATCTTAATGTTCACAAATCATGACTGAAATAATATTTTAGTACAAAGATTGATTTTTAAAAAGGGATTGTAGGGGACATACCACAGACAAGCCAAGGACCCATCAAGGAAAGTGGTGATTTTGAATGGCTATTACTGTAAACTAACATTATTATTGTTCCTCAAACACCCTCTGAAGGTTTAACATTTCCTACAAATGTATTTTCTACTGCAGAGTACCTCTACTGTATATTAAGTATGTTTTTTCAATCCCCCAAGAATTTCTCTGCTTGCTCAGCCTTAAATTACTCAGTGCTTCATAAAATCACAAGGTATATCGTATTACACCTAACATAAACATGGCGGTTCCCAACATTCGAGAATGTGCGCAATCATTTAATGCATAAAGGCCTTTTGTTCACACTTAGATATTAGTAAATAAACTGAGTCTAATGGATATTTGGAAAATAAAGGAAAGAGGACATAACCTGCAAAGTTTGTTGTGAAAAGCAAAGGTACGATACGAAAACTACAAAGACCTGATGCTCACTGTTAGATATCAAATTCAGCACTTGGGTCTAAGACTCGCTGTTTGATATATTGTTAGCCCAGCACTTTCTCCTCACATATAAAGCAAAACACATAGCAATTTGACATCAACATTAAGATAGAATTTTGTGATGGATCTGAAAATCACAGAAACACTCTTGAAGACTAATGGAAAGTGATGAATATGACATCTTGGAAACTATTCGCCTGTCGCAAGGGGAATGACAGATCGGATCCAGGAGACAAAAACAAGGAGAAACCAAAATGGGCCAGAGCCTAAAGAATGATGCATGTACAGTAGAGCCATGATTTATTGCTTCTTTTGGACATCTAATAAATGCTACTAAGTATGAGGATATGTATTTAGCTCACTTACATATAGCATGCTCATTGCACAATTTATTCCTTAAGTTGTCTGCAGAGTGTAAAAAGAAAAGGCTGCTCAGATTGGTCACCATTTCCTTTCTAAAAGTGACTTCATCCAAAAATCTATTTGAGACCCAGAGAAATAATTTTCCGATGTTTTAACCTCAAAAACCAAAAGCCTCCTCATTAATCACCATGCAAGCCACAGAATTTATTTTTAGGATCCTCTAGAGGAGCTGGTTGGGAAATTGACTTATCTTAGTACCATAAACTGGCCAAAAACTATAACGTATTTGACCAGTACCAATGAATTACAAAACTATTAATGCGCCTTGAGCGTTTTTCAGATTTTTCCACATTATAGTCAAACCATCTTTGTATTTTATTAGGATTTTATGTCATAGATTACCACAAAGTACTGTAATGCCTAATTTAAAAATAGAGGGGGGTGATAAATAAGTGGTTTATAAACATGTTTTGCAAAGAATATCTTAAAGGGGTATATTTGTACTCTGGTACCCTTAGATGAAATCAACTTCTACTAATTGTCTTTAGAAAACTCAGCATATTTATGTTTTTGAATGTCAAGTCAAAGCCTTTGCCTGAACTCATTTTGCGAAGGAGACTGAATGAGGCTCTCCAAGGAGTTCTAATAATCCTGGTTTAATTTCAAAGAAATATTTCGATAAAAATTTAAGTATTGGAGGAAATACATCCCAGAGGAGCTATCCTTTTAGTTGCTTCAAAAAAAATTTTTCTTCTAAGTATTGACAAAAGGGGGTAGAATACAACATTTATATAACCTTAAATGATTTCCCTTCTAACACTTAACCCTTACTTTGTTTTGTAGTGTCACAAATATTCCCAATAAAATACACTGATGTTTGGATTGTAATTTGACAACAAGTAGAAAAGTTTGAGGGTCATAAATAGTTTTACAATGCTAAAACCCATTATTTAATTCTTCATCCATAGGTTGCTGAACTGGAGCCACTTTTCTGGGTGATATACAAAGGTAAGGCTACAGGTCATTTATCTGTAGATGCTAGTTATCCAGTTGGATGAAATGTTTTCAAACTGTGCATTTTACAAAGCTGAAACATGTAGATTTCATTGGTACTCACACTGAAAAACCACAACAGAAAGATTACCAGCCATCCCAAGATTGAAATAAAGTGAAAACATATTCATGTGTGATATTTACCATAGAAAAAGTGTTTGCTCTGTAATGTGTTTATAACAAGCGATAGATTTTTTTTCAGTTTGAAGCCAAACATCTTTAACACCATTTATCAACCAATGTGTAGATTTCAACAGAGAGGCGTTGTTCGTTTTTATTTATTGCTTTTTTGGAGCTACTGAATAACAATTTATCAAAAAGGGACAGAATCAGGGTTTAATATATCTCTTGTGCAGATTTGTTTGCTGTGAACACTCTATGGAGCTCACAGTTTGCTTAAAGCAAGAACTGGATGGCCTCCAAATGTCACAGAAGCAAGAAAGAAATCCACTTTAACGCGTCATGTGATGGCTGGCAGTGCGCAGCTTTTAGCGGAGCGATATTTACCAACAGGGCTGTTTTCTGATCTCATTAAAGCAACATGGAGGATAAGACAAAGACTAATCCTAGAGAGTCTGCTTTCTAGGGTAAAACATGTCCTGTGTTTTAGTTGGTTTAGTTGCAGTGTTGTTGCACACTTCATGCAATTAATCTACCATTATTTCCTCAGGCAACCCCAACAAATGACCTCTAAGCCTAGAAAACAACAGGGAAGCTTTGTATTAAGTTGTGCACATTTTGCTTTCAAACCCACTTGAGAAGCTGAATGAGCAGCCTGGCGTAGCTGCACATCATGTGGGGCTCCAGGTTCGGTAGAGTGACCAACTCATAGAGGAGATTGATGAAAAGAACATGGTCTTCTTTGCTGAACCTCCGGCCATAGAGCTTGAGAAAACTAGAGGAGAAAGAAAAAGCAAACAACAAGCAATTCATCACTTCCTCTTTAATCAACTGAACCATAACGTGTAAAGAGATACCTGCTTTGTTCCTCACATCCAAAAATCTTCAATTACTTTTTTCATTTGTTTTCTGCTGGACAGTTATTGGGCTGCCCCTTTGGCATGTCTGATAATAATTGATGAGTCAACAATCACAGAAAGTCCAGTTGAGGCCAATCACCTCATCATAGCACTGCTGGCTCCACACACACAATTTTATGGGTATACTTAATAAAATTATTTAAGATTTTATTTTACACACACTATAACATGGGTAAATACAGCTTGATCATGTTGATATTTTTACAGCTATACATTGGTTACAGTATTTAAAGAGTATTTAGCAGCATTAAAATAGTACACCTTCACTACTTCCTGAACTGTGGCCAGCTTCTTTGTTTCCTTTCAGTATGGGACAGACTGATCAATGCAGTTGTGTCTGACCTCAGTAACTATGACGACATTGGCAAGGCACACCTGGATTAATCAGTCTGCACAGTGATAAAAGAAAGAAAACAAAGAACCTGGCAGAAGTTTAGGAAGTAGTGAATTAGAAAATATAGCCTATTTGTGTTTCCAGCTAGTTTTGATGTTCTGAAGGGCTAATGCTGTCCGGATATTATCACAGCAGTTCCTTTTCTACCCAAAAAAGTGTTCTTGCTGTATCCTCCGCAAAAGGTGAAGGAATAGGTGCTGCATCAAGCTCTTTTTACCAATTTATATTGATTGACACATTTAGTCATTTGATCATTTATGCTTGTTGAATCGTGGAACCAATGTATTTTAATGAGAAATACATGCATTTTCATCAGTTTTTTTCTTTTTTTTTATTGTCATTACAGTGTCACAAGTACAGCGCCATGAAATTCACTCTCTGCATTTAACCCATGCCCTTTGTACGCAGTGGGCTGCCCTTGTGCGGTGCCCGGGGAGCAGTGTGGGGGTTAAACGTCTTGCTCAGAGACCCAGAGTGGCTGTCTGTGAGAGTGGGGCTTGAAATCAGAACCTCTGGATTCCAAGCTCAGTGCCCTAACCACCAGGCCGCCACTCTTCCTAATGTGCATTTTAAAGTTTTGTTTTAGAAAAGCTTGATGGAAATGAAAAAATAAAAAAGACCCTTTTAATTTGCAAACCAATCTTTTTATGCTCACTTGAGGTGGTTTTTGTTTCATAATGGTTAATGCGCAAAACAGGAGATGGAAATATTTTTCTGAATCAGCTCTGATGTAGGGAACTATTTCTACTCTCTGCTTCCCACCAATGCCATATTATACCCATAAACATGACTGGAAGCAACTTAAGCATTGCCAGCTGACACGTTAACCTAAGAACAACTTGCCAAATAGCAACACACTACTAATCTGTGGTCCTTGCTAGATTGCAGCCGCTTCTTCCTGCTTATTACAGTCATGCATGACAACAGATTGTTGATGACGATGTGCAAAGACCTTATGTTTTCCTTTTTTAATTCGCTTCAAACCAAATGGAAGGGCTGTATATTTATTTTGTTTTCCCTTCTTTATTTTTGAATGTTTCAGACAGACACCCCACCCCTACACCCCATTAAGAACATCACAAAAAAATATGTGTTTATATATATACTATACATATATACTATACATATATATATATGTTGGTATGTAACTTCTTTATTTCAAATTGTTATAAATAGGCCAATTGTGTCACACAATAAAGCCATACAGTATTTTCAACTATGGTGCTTTTGGACTTCCATATAGACAGGTTACACCACACCATTTAAGAGTTGTAAGTTAACAGATTAATAGAAGCCAGAAACACTTACGAGAAGAGCTTCCTGGACCAGAAAGAGACTCCGGGCCACAGCTCCCTGAGGAGAACTGCCCTGCTCAGGTTGGCTTTGATCTCCGCCAGCAGCTCTGTGGCCTCCTGGTCCAAGCGGTCACAATAAGGTAAAAGGCCATTATACACTATCTCCTTTTGGGGGATAAACCCCTTTCCCCCCCCATCCACGGTCATGTCTCACTCTGGCTCGAGCTCTGGTGCTGGGTGTTGAAGAGACTCTTAAGGAAAATCGCGTGCCTGGTAAATGTGGCACCTTCTAGAAAGAGTGCAACAGAAGTTAGAGGAAATAATCCGCTGTGTCCAGGAGCCCGGAGGAAAGTATGTCACGCTAATTGAGCTGGTCAAAGCCCTGAGCTGGGCTTGTTCTGCAGTGTCAGGCCGCGGTGTCACCTCTCTCATCCCACATCACACACATGCACACTGGAGCAGCCAAACGGCAACAGGGTCAAAGAGGTTGCTTCTAACCACAGGGGGTCCATGGGAAATACATTGCCACTAGCTTTTCTTTTTGTAAGGTCTGCCATACTTTCAAAGACAAGCTTTGATGTCTGTGCTGCTGAGTCCAATTATAAGGTGGGGTGTTTGATATAAGGAGCGTTTAATGTTTAGCCATGGGTGTAAATGTTTAATTTTAGCGTAGAGGCCACTGAAGAAGGGAAAGGCAAGGTTCTGTCCATCATTCTATGTTGGAAGACATTTCCAAAAATATATATTTATAGTTACTTAAAGAAAAAAATCAAACAAGTTTCACATGGGGAATCTGAAGCAATTCATCACAACATGCAAACAAGGAAACAGATTAAAAGAAATAACATGAAAATCTGATCATCTGAAAGATATTTGAGATGGAGAGTTAATTACAGAACAAGGAGCTAGTGGTTGATTAAAGCTAAGTACAGCTGGAACAGAGGGAAAGTGAGTGAAGTTGATCTACGGAAAGAGGGGGGAAAAAAGCAAAACAAGAACCGAACATTCCAAAGATCAGGACAATGGTATTTTCCAGGGCAGGACAATTAATTGTATTTGCAGTAATATTCAAGTTTTTAAAAACTCAATTTTCAAATTTCAAACAATGGATGTTTGCTTCAACAAAAAAATAAAAAAAAATATGGATTTCTCCCCCGAGGTGGGAATTCTGTTCCTTAGAGAAGCTGCTGCAAGTATAAAACTAGGTAAGCTGCTGCAAGTATAAAACTAGGTAAAGGTTTTGCTAAAAAAAATGTGTATTTGCTTTCCTAAAAAAGTAGCACAAAAAATATCTACAGTGCTTGCAAATGTATCCATACATCTTCAACATTTCATTTGTTATAAAAGCTACAACCAGAAATGTCAATGAACTTTAATGTAATAAACCATCACAGGGTAGTACTTCATTTTAAAGAAAAAAGGAATATTTTAATATATATATATTTTTTTTACAAATACAATCTAAAAAATGTGTGGCAGGCTATTGTTCAGTTTTTCACTTTGAAAGGCTAGTCTCACCAAAATGATTTATCTTTACTTTCAAAAACACTAACAACATATCAATGCTCTTCCTGCCACATTCCAAATATGTGCTGCAACCTTAACATTCCAATAAGATAGATCAAAGTTTATCTTTTTTTGTTTGCCATTAAAAAAAGATTTTTTTTTCAATATATCCAGACAGTCCAGGTCACAAGACACTGCAGTAGTAACTACAAGAGGTCCCAGAAGGCTCTACTCAGGAGTGAGCTGCAGATCCAAGAAGCAATATAGTGTAGAAAGCTAATCCTCAATATATTGGGATGATCTGATAACTGGATTAATGCTCTCTCCTGTGTTACTGACCCAGTAACCCACTGTAACTGAGATAAACTGCGATGACCACTTCCCGTCTATCTGTATAAATGACTTAAGGGGAGCACTTTCTTATGGCAGTATTGCTGCCAACCTTATCCCTTCATCCTCCATTGTGCACTGTTCTATGTGAATAGCAATTTAATTTAAGCTCTTGCAATTCTCAGACCACTTAAAGCTTATAGCTATGGTGCAATTGAAGGATAAGTGTTTCTGCTCACGGAGGCAGCTTAGAGTGCGGTGGAAAAGACATTTTAGTTGTTTTTGGAGAATTGAGGCAATTGCTTTAGTTCTACTTTTTCTTAAGTGCCTGGATTATAGTTGAGTCTTTTGAGCGGTGCTCTTATTGCTTTTGCAGGATGACAGTGGAATGAAAACTGTAAGTCTGTGAGCTCGTCTTAGTTCATATTCCTGCTGCTGTTTAAAGCATAGAAGCAGAATATGAATTAAAATTCCCCAAAAAAACAGAAAAGTAAAAGATAATGTGCATTTTTTCTGAAGATTTTAGTCTTATATAGTATGTTTTCCATGCCCCAATCTCAAATTAAGCTAATTTGTAAGTATCTTTTGTATGGCTTCACATAATTTTATTTTGGAATAAGTTTTAGCAATTAGTACTCTAACATTAATGATTATAAAGCAGAAGAAAACTAAGAGAAAAAAAAAAAAACACAAATCAAGTTAAGAACGTGTTAGATGAGTCACATACAATGACTTGGTTTTCAGTTCATTTGACCCCTGGGGTGTGCCACAAGGCTGCATTCTCTGTCCTCTTTGTTTTTTGTTGTATCTGCTTTCAGCTTTTCATTTTATTTCTTAACAGGCAACTAGGTTTATTTTCCACCAAGGCACATTGCAAACTACTGACTGACTGCCACTCCTAAAATGCCTGGTTTACATCAGGAACTTATTGGCACTGCATCTTTTGATTTTAATGAGAACAAGACTGAGGTCAAGCTGTCTTATATAAAGAGGATCTCTTGAATCAACATGTTTTTCCCTGAGGAGGTTTGCGCTTAGGACCAAGCTACTTCTTAGAATTATAAAGTCTTTGATTTCTGCTTTCAATTTGGACAAAAAAAATAACTGGCCTTCAGAAATGAGAATATTTTTTCTAATTCTGGATTCCATTTACTGACCTCCTGTTACTACTCCATATGATTTCACTTGCTTCAAAAATGCTGCAGCGAATATCTAGTCACCGGTTATCAAAATTAGTCAAGCCACCAGAAAAAAACTGATTAATTAAAATGTCTACTTATTCAAATTAACTAAAACAATGAGATCACTTTATTGATGATTAGTTTATTTAAACATTAAACAGGAAAAAGGGTCGCGTTGTTGTGTAAGATCAAACGTTTTAAAGGGTGGATGTAAGATATTTCTCTTGCTGCAAAGCTGTTTTCATGGCTCCCAAAATGCATCCAGTAAAAGCGACAATGTGGACAAGCCAGAAAAAAAATGTAAGGAGTCAAAGATGCTGAGAGAAGCAGGTAAAATAACTGCAAATTTGACAAAGAAACAAATAAAAAGCTCTGGATTAATTTCCATATTTCCACTTTAATGCTTCATCCTTCAATTTTGCATCCATATATTTTGAACATCGTTCTGTTTTGAAATTTAGCAAGTTTTATTGCCATAACCTTATCCTAATTAAATGCCATGAAAAAGTGACAGATTAGGATCCCTGACAAAACTGTAATAACTTCAAATGACTTCCTGTTGCTTTATGCTATAAGATGAAATCCTACTACAGCCTTTCCTTAACCAGTCTATGAACAGGTACAGGATAGAAATTGATGCAAGGTTCACATAGAGTATTACACAGCTGCAATTTTGAATAAAAAAAGTCAGATCAGCTAAAATAACCTAGACCATAAGTAATTGGTTGATCAGTAGGGAACCATCATTTGAGAAGTTCACAATTTTAATTCAAGACACAGCATGGACTGCTGGGGCCAAGACTTAGAGAGTCTCCACATTTTCAGTTTATTTGGTAATAAATATGCCACATTCAAAGGAAAATGATGGGAACTTTAATAAGAGACTATTGCTTGTGTACCTTTCTATTAAGCAAGCCCATCTGTACAAATATGAATTATGAGAGAAAAAAAAATCAATATGTAGAGTAAAAAGCATTATCTGAATACGATTGGTACAATATAAAGACGTCTTTAGAAAAGAGAAAAAATATACACATACGTGGGTGTAATCTTATCGAAATACAAATTCCAAGAAAATACAGCAGGTTTAAGAGAAAAAAAAAAATCCTCTCACCAGCTGTTCAGTTTGGGTATTAATCAGTCTCGCTATTGGCAGCGTTTACAGCTCGGAAATTAGGAAGAATTTGTTCTGTTCCATCTGCACCAAAAGGGAAGAAAAAGTTTCCGGCTACAGCAAGATAACAATCAAAGAAAAAACTCTGAACTAAAGAGCTGCAGGTTGGAATTTTTGTTGCAAGCCTTAAAGTCCCCAATATGAGATTTACACCTAAACAGGAGTTTGTAGGAGGACTTTGAAGATTCTGGAAGGGGAGAAAGGTTCACAGACTTTACTTTGCCATCTATTTAGTATAAAAGAAATAAAACATTTGTCTCAATCAATAAAACATTTGTTGTACACTGTTGCTGGTTGTATTTTTCATGTAATGTGCTACAAACAAGAAGACCAGAACAAACTGTTCCTCTCATGACATATATCAATCTAAAAATGTCAAGCTACACTTTGCCAAACAATCTTGGCCAAGCCTTCACCTTTAATGTCCCCTCAGATCTTATTACTCTGGGAGCTTTTTTTTTTTTTAAGAGCACAGAGAGCACCTGCTTTCTGAGCCTTTTCTGCTGAGAAGTCTCCAAAAAGAAACATGTTAACTGTTCCTGGATGTCCTCTGCTAAGATGTTTCTATGTACCTGTAAGGACAGGATTTGTTGAAAATTGCCATATGTGTGTGTCTGTGTTTGTATGGGCACAGGCGTGTGCACACATCTGTGAGACTCATTATTCCACATGTGGAGTCTACAAATGGAAAATCTGATTCGGGATGATGATGCCTTTTTGACTCAGCGGGGAGAGGACCAAACGCAGAGTGAGAGAGATCCCAGAGAAAAAAAAATGTTTTTTGGATTCCATCAGCTCGGTCGTCTTTTCCCCTCAATCCAGGGCACCCTGCAAAAACACAAACAATAATAAAACACAAACGTCACACTTTTTCATCTTCGCAAATGATCTATGATGATGCCATCTTTCTGGCTTTAAAACAAAAGCAGACTTTTTGAACCAATCAACTTGTGTGTTTGTGTGTGAGAGAGAGAGAGCATAGCTTAGAATGGCTTCCAGTAGCAGTTTTGGGAGTAAGGGGTGTAAATGATGTGCCTGAGAAACCTGCGCTGAGAACTTAACACACAGAGCCGCAGCTCCCTCCATCCAGCTGGGTTTC